TTCAGGTTAGCTCGTTCGCTACGCTCACTCACCTTTTGGTTGCAAATTAGCTGTTGTCATAAATGTAAAAGAAATAATAGTGCTGCACCCTGTTGGTAATCCTTGTAACTTTAATGCTATTGAACATCATAGAACAGAACCAACTTGTTTAATTGAAACAGCTGTTAAGATTCATTAATTCCATTTCTCATAAGATTAACATGGGAAACTCCAGAGCATCCATACAAACATCCTCTTTTATACTTATAGATTTGAAACAGTTTTTCTTTGTGACAGCTAATTTGAGAGAACGGCTGGGTGTAGAAACTCGGTAGGGGTCTCTAAAGAAAGATGGGGTCTGTAGATGAGCCATCAAAAGAGAAACGTGGTAAATTCCTTTGGGGCTCTGCCCCAGTGGCCTTTAAATTCCCATCCCATGTTATTCTTATGGAGGAAAAACAGGGTTTTGTCACAGCTAATTACAGAGAAAGGCTGGACGTAGAAACTTGGTAGGGGTCTCTAAAGAGAGATCTTGGTCTGTAGATGAGCCATCACAAGAGAAACGTGGTAAATTCCTTTGGGGCTCTGCCCCAGTGGCCTTTAAATTCCCATCCCATGTTATTCTTATGGAGGAAAAACAGGGTTTTGTCACAGCTAATTTCAGAGAACGGCTGGGCGTAGAAACTTGGTAGAGGTGTCCAAAGAAATATCTTGGTCTGTAGATGAGCCATCAAAAGAGAAACAAGGTAAATTCCCTTGGGGCTCTGCCCCAGAGGCCTTTAAAGTTCCCTCTTCAGATGTGTTTACATTACGACCATATGCATACATTTACACTTCTTTTGAATGAAACAGCTGTTAATATTTAAATTGTGATTTACTAAATTTGTCAAAATTAAGTATTTGCAATCGTTCTTTTATGATTTTAAAATCGATTTTCTTCTGAATCGTGCCATGTTTTGCAATATAATGTTCTATTACCAAATCAGTGGAAAATCCTAATATCACAGTAACTCTTAAAATTATTTCTTATGGAGTTAACTTATATCTATTGAATGGGTTGGTTTCTGCCTTTTTTACCACTTCTTGGAGATTACACGTAGACGATATTCTTTGGCGTATTGCATCTGTGGTAGATGATACTTGGTTAGTGTAATTTTAAAAATTACAATGGAAAAAAGTGAGAAATACTGGACAATTTGATAAACTAAAAATAAAACTGAATTAACACTGTGCTACATTTCTTGAGCAATAATTGAAAGAGCCGATTTGCAAACAATGGAAACAGGAAAGTCATAGAACACAACCTAGTACAGTAGAAGAAAAAGAAATATTGTTTGTTTTTTTTTCAATTATAATCGTTATTATAGACAACCTTATGCGGCTACAAGTGGGGAAAATTTGTAGAAAACACTAAAAAACAAGGTCAGCTTTTGAAAAAAGATAAGATATTTACTAACAATTTTGATTATATCTAACTGCTGTGTACATCTTGAGTAACCATAATCTTTGAGTCGACTCTTATAACGTCATCGGAAATTATGACTGTTATTCGTTTTAAAATAACGCCTGTAATGCTTCGCAATTGCTCGAATTCGAGCAACAGGTACACTAGTTTAGATTTATTTAGTTTTTTTGTGTCATTTTAAATAGCTAAGTATACTTTGAAGCTGCGTGGATGGTAGCGTGTCGTCACGTGAAATAAAGTCAATAAATGGTAAGTGCTTCAGCTTCACATACGGACCCTTCAATGTATGGCCAGGATAAACTGTCCTTATTTTGATTTACTAATTTACAAGGGTCCACCGGGACACTTAAAAACTTCACTACTAGATTAAAGAGAAACAATTACCAGCTCAATAATTTTAAAACTAGCGAATCTATGCTAATGTATGTATGTATGTATGTACCTATGCGAATGTGTTTTAACAATAACAGCATGAGTATTTCCATTAGTTACATAAGCTTTTAGTTGAGTCTTTTAAAATCATCGAAAATTATGACCGTTATTTAGTTTTAAAATTACTCTTGTAATAACGGTACTTGACAATTGCTCGATTTCGAGCTACAAGAACATTAGTATCCTATTTTTCTCTTATAGAATGTATACATTATACTTACACGTGTTAGTTTGGAGTCTGGAGACCCTACATTACCAGAAATACACCGTCGGTGGGCTATAATCGAGAAACAGCCGTTGTGCGCTATAGTGACATTGTTGGATTTGAATGCCGCGCCAAAATGGCACCAGTGGCGCTGCGGCAGGGCACACATCAACTTGGCCGGGCAATCGAGTTCGCCTCAACTGCCCCATATATATGACTTATCTACTTGAGGAGTGTTTTATCTATGCTATAACCCAGAATGCTAACCGCATGGTAAAAAGCGTTGAGTACTTGGAGAGAGCTTTGCCTGTCAATTCGTAGGCAGCGCCACCAGCGTTGCTATGCTGGTGCATTGTAAAGATAAGATTCCCCATCAGATAAAAGGTTATTCTATTTTCTATTAATCACTGACTTCCTACGCCTCATTCATAGTTTTATATAATAATATATAATAGCCTCTACTTTACAAAAGGAGTCTTAAATGATAATAAGAAAAGGATTAGAGTTCATTAAATGTTGTATGTTCCAATATTCCCACAAAATGTTTGAACAATTGTTAAGAGTCTTCCTTAGTGGAAGCCATGTTGGATTTCTTCCCCATAAGAACAATGTTAAACATTACATCATTTGTGGACACGTAACGGCGTTATTTGTTAAGATATAGCTTTGAAATTTATAATTTGTATTTTTAACATAATAGACTCGTGACTGAGGTTTTTGAATTTCGAAAATCCATTTTCATTTCCTTTCAATAATTAGCTTAATTTTAAGCTAATTAATAATCAATTATTCATTATAAAAATTAAAAATTGTGAAATAAAAAACGTCAATCTCTAGAGGACCGCAATTCCTTAAATTTAACTTCTTATCCATAATTATATGACAATTTGCTGATGAGATATTTGGACCCAAAGTTAACATTGTTCTTATGGGGAAGAAATCCAACATGGCTTCCACTAAGGAAGACTCTTAACAAAAGTATTTGCATCATTATTAACTGACTCAAGAAAACCACAACTGTCATCTCTAATAAATTTGATAAAATCCCTATAATCCTCCAACAGACACAATCCGCAAAAAAACCTCAATTTCGTGAAAATCGCCAAAAGTGGCAACATTGGTCCGCATTGGTCGTGAACCGGATGTACGATTTAGATAATGCAAAAGGCATTCCATTATTGTCATCGAATATACCATTTACTTTGGATACTGCAAGTAGAAACTCATTTAATTGGACCAGATAAACCATTGAATCTGGATACTGTAAATAGGCATTCCATTTCATTTATGTAAACAAAAAAATATACCATTGCCTTGGATACTGCAAGTAGACATTTCATTTGCATTACGTGAACCAGAGAGAGTAGGCCTAACATTGCGTTTGGATTTAGCATCTTTAAATTTAATACGCTAGGCATATTTTTGTCATAATTGTTTTATAGCGGTGGTGCTACCGATCACCATGTCTAAGGTGATCAGTGGCCTTCAAAGTTCCCATGTTATTCTTAGGGAGAAAATGTTTGTTTACATTTGAAAAGGTGAGTACTTTGAAATTTACACTAATATTTGAAACAGCTGGTTATACTAAAAATGGAGACATGTGCTATAAGGATCTCTCGGATCTCTTATATTAATACGTGAGGGCTGTTTTTTTGTTTTTTTTTTTTACAAAACTCCGTTATTTCTGGATCGATTTTAACGTTCGTGGTGTCAAATAATTAGTCTCAACTCGTAGTTTTGCATTAAGGTTTTAGAATTTAAAAACTCTTACCCTTAAGGGCACGAGACGCTCTCAAAGGTCGCATTTACCCCTTAAGATTTACATTGAAATCAAATTTTAAAACAAAAACAGCTGTATATAAAAGTAACTCGCCAGCTTTTTGGGAGTAAATATTGATGTTTGTAATATTTAGGAGGTTATAGACGAATATAAACAGTCAATCAGTTTTGTTGGAAGAACAGACAATTTCTTGAGTTTAAAGGAGAAATATTGAAAACAGGAGGATGAGACAATTAATAGGAAATCTTATACGTATGGGAAGAGTAGAGGAGAGGCCTCTCACAGTAAGGAATCCAGGTACACAATCACTTGGGGGAGATGAATCATTTTTGCCAGTTATGCTAAGCAACGTTTTTGGAAGTAAAAAAAAAACCATGAAGAATATATGGACACTTCATGTTGTCACAGTGGTAAAGTAAACCTACCTAAAGTCAGATCAAATAAATAAATTCAAGAAATGTTTACTGGGAAAAGCTTGTTTTGGTTGCTTGGTTGGGAAACATTTGTTGAAAACACTAAAAATAAGGTCGGGTCCAAAATATTCGAAAATATTTTTACCAGAATCGTTTATTATTTCAAAGCGCTATTAAATAGCGTGAGTATTTCAATTAGTTAGGTACATAAGTATTTAGTCGGATCTTTTAAACTCATTGAAAATTATGACCGTTATTACTGTAGTTTTAAAATAACTTCTGTATAATACCGGTACTTGAAAATTGCTCGATTTCGAGCAGCAGGTACACTAGTTGGATTTGGATACTGCAAAATATACATCCTAACGTAAACCAAATGTACCATTGACTGCAAGTAGACCTCGTATATATGTGAACCAGTTCCTGGTCCTATTGACTTTGGTTACTGCTAGTATACATCCCATTTATGTAAATAAGATTTAGCTTTTACTTTGGAAAAGTATTAGATTAATATGCTTGCTCCACTCAATACTGAAAGCAAACAACTGCATTGTTTGTACCCACAGCCCAATGTACCCCTAGTGTTTTTGTTATATATGTGATTTCGGCTTTACTTGCCGAGAAAGCGATGATATTTCAAAGGCAGTGGAAAAGTTGAAGCTGAAGCTGTTAGCTGGCTCGCTGGGCTGGTGTGGGATGAGATTGGGAATGAGAGTCAGTTGATCTGATCTACTAGTAAAAAGTGGTGCAAACTGTTGGTAAAAATTTCTTTAGAGATTCAATGGCGATGAGAAAAATTAAACAATTGATTTTTAGTAGGTTTTCATAGTCTGCGTTGGTAGAACTGGTAGCTTCCCCATTTGGCATTTCTCAGGTGCAGTGTCGTGTGCTTACACCTTACTGCTAATTGATAAGAAAAAGAAGTAGGCCTTCCCTTGTTAATTGTATCAATGTGTGGAAATGGTGTGCAAGGAAGATGTTGTTTCGTGGTTTAAGAGTTTACAAAGTCATACACGCATAGATGTCATGTGTAACCTGTTTAATTTGTGCTTACCCTTCGAACTACGGTTCCTAGGCACATGCCTGGAAGACCTCGGAAAACGAGATTTTCATGATCTCAGGACTACCGAAACTTCGGCTAATAACCCTTCAGAATTAAGTTCTCCAGACTTTCAGTGTATCAGTGATAAGCGTGCTCGAACTAAGTTGGCTTTATACATATCGCTGCTTCATTCTTGTAACTATGCATGCTCTAATGGTTTTTATAAAATCCTCTCTAACATTGAAGAAGTGAACCATCTTATTAAAGTTAATGGTGTATCTAGTGCAGATGATGAAGTTTTGGAAGAACTTCTTTTGATATACACCTTGGCTTTAAACCATCCTGCATTTACTTTTGAGCAAAAACTCTACTTAGGTGAAGTTTTTACTAAGCTTCAGCAAGAAGATGATCGAAGACAATGTGTTAAACGGACTAGATCGGTGCAAGGATCATCGGGGCTAGAGCAAGTTGACAAGATCTCAATGCAGGTAAGTTCATCGTCTCTTGTTAAAACTGCTTAACTTAGTGTAGGCCTAACACTAATCTTCTGAAATCCCCAAAGTTAGGCTAGAATCAATTTAGCTTTGAGTAAGTTAGGGCCGGCCTATGCCTATGCCTAAGCTTAGTCCTTTGAAACTAGCAATAGGCCTACGTTATCACTTTTTCCCTACATGACCTTAGCTTGGGCCATTGCATAGAGCTAGGTTTTCTTTTGCTTGTTTAAGTTAGACTAGGCCTAGGCCTACCTTTTTTAATTTCATGGGGTTAATGCTACGTAAGTAAATTAGGCCTAAGTGATCCTATTTATCCACTAAGTTACTGGTAACAGTTAATCAGTAGGCCTAGGCCTAGTTAGGTAGGCAGAGGATTTGCGTCCGGTAACCAGACGTGGATTAGCCTAAGTTAGGCGTCTGGCAGTTACCGTCATAACCTAAATTAACCAAACTTGCTGATAATGAAAAAAATCAAATGAAGGTTAAATTATGTTCATAAAATAGCCTAAAATTATAAGTTAAAGACCTCATATTCTAACAAGATGTAGGCCTACAGTTAAGGAGAAATGGCATTATAAGCAAAATCTTGGACAAACAGTTAGGCTAAAGTTAGTGTCACCGCACCGATGGGATTCCATCTAGATACTTACCTCTTGTAAATCAGCCGAGTACTCTTTCCACTACACCACAAACACCTATGGCTGTAAATCGTATCGTTGTGGAAATGGTGTTCCGGGCCCCCACAACCCGGTGACGTCACTGCCGGACGCCTAATCCATGTTCGGTTACTGGACGCGTATCCTCTGCGAGGTAAAAAGGCCTATCCTTCTGCACGAGTAGGCCTTCTGCTAAAGGTAGAGGCCTACTGGTATTGGTAGGTCCTAACTCATTCTTTGCTTCTTGTAGGATTTTAGGCTAGATTGAGCCTAAGTTATGAAAGAAATTCGTAGATTTTGGTTCTTATTTTGTTGTTTAAGTCTAAACATGAAAATAGCCAATTTTGATTTGGAAGTTATCGTGGGGAGCTTAAAAAGACGAAGACCTAATTTTGTTTAAGTTATTTAAGTTGAGTGTTGTTTCTTCTAAGTTTACAAAGATAACCTAGTTTGGGAAAAAATCACACTTTAAGTTAAGTAGGTAGGCCCAAGTTAAAGCAGATTGGCAATCGCATACCGTCAGATGGGGCTACTCTGAACGAAAAGTAAAAAAAAAATGTTTTGGCTCTGCGTAACACACATGAAATATGTCATATCCTGCATCTAATATTCATTTTCTAATTCCTTGGTTTATTTACTTTAAGAATATAAGTTTTATTAGCCTGCATAAGTCTTCATCTTAATATAGGCCCTAAGTCTTACTTATCATAAAGTCTTCACGAGGATCAGGTTTATTTACCTTCGATGCTGACCTCAGCAACTACAGTAGAGGTATCATGTAAAAGAAAGAAAAAGAAATTAAAGAAAGTAAAAACTGTAGGTAGGATATCTTATCTTATCTTACTAATATTATAAATGTGAAAGTTTGTGTGTTTGTTTGTTTGAAGTTCAATCACGCTTTAACTACTGGACGGATTGGGCTGAAATTTGGCATGATGATAGCTCACATTCCCGATTAACATAGGCTATAGGCATAGTCTTATCTCAAAAATCCTTTCGGGCTCCGCCCCACTGGCTCTGTAGCTCCCCATGTTAACCTTATGAGTATTCATATTTAATGGGAATTAAAGAATTTAGTCAGCTGTGTTTCAATTAAAAAAGTTGGTTCTATGATATGCAAAAGCATTACAAAGTTATACGAATTACCAACAGGGTGCAGCACTATTATATTTTTTTGCATTTATAAAAACAGCTAATTTGAACTAAGCAGCAACAAAAAACTGTGATACGCAATGAGAAATGTTAAATTAGGATTGTTTACAGGCATGTTTATGTTTTTAATTTTATGAATGATTTGAGATATTTTGCGAATTTTTTATAATTTATTTTTCTCTATTGTTTAGAAGTGGTAGAAAATTATGGCTATGGTAGATATGTAATACTATAGTATAACGTAAATTTAAGGAAGCAAATTGTATCAAACTGTGTCCTCCCCCATTGCAAACGCAAAACTTGAGTATAACTGCAATATAACCTAAGCATTTTGTACTTTATGCCAACCCCGTACGAAGGACGGGTTCTCTGCTAGTTGTAAATATATTAGGAGTTTTTAAGTTTTTGTTATTGAAAAAATGTTTTTCACTGTAATATTCATCGATAACTTAATTAAGTGAAGAAGTTTAACCATTACCAGGCCTCTTGAAGAACTAAAGAATCATACTAATGGAGGAGTAAATTACAGTTTTTTTGCGAGTTGTTTCAGGTTGTACTTAGGCTAAGTAAAAATTTTAATATTTAGCCTAATATTTTTTAATATTTTGTGTACGGTATATATTTGTTCATTGAAACCCCTTTTTTTATGGCATATCAAAGAAGCCCCTAGGTTTAACAGTAGATATGAGGTTAAAGTTTAGATGTTCATAGAAGCCCCATCCATGAGGCTACTTTGAACAGTCACAAAAATAGTATTTTTTTTTCTATAACATCTCTTTTACCGTAGTACTCATGGTAAGACCTGGACCCAGGACCGATTTTTTTTTTTTCGTTTTGAGGTCCTTAGAGACCAAAAACACCATCCGTTGAAAATTCATATATATATATATTTATATATATATATGTGTCCGTTAGCGTGATAACTCAAGCAAAAATGATCCAATTTTGATGAAATTTGGTACAAACGTGTAAACCTACGTTTATTCAAACGAGTTCGCCAACCAGCATGATCGGACCATGGGAACGGGGGTTTATGAGGGGTTTTATGGGGTAAAATTGGGTTTTTCCCATTTTTGACCCAAAAAACATCAAATTTTGCAATTTCTTTCTAAACTATTTTGTAGAGCTTAAAAAAACAAATAATTTAGTATATTGAAGCGTTATAATGCGCCTAATGGTTACGGAGAAAATTCCAAAAAATTGCAAATTTAAAATTTCCATGTTATTCTTATGGAGAATAAGTAAACTGTTGTAGTTTGCTTGTTTATTAACATATTTTGCCCAAATTTGGAACATGTTTTTATTTCTTACTAACAATTAACATTTTACATAAAAAAACACTTTTACCCTCCCTGTTGCAGCAAACCTAAGTATGTGTTTTAAACTGATTCTATTTAAATAGGGATAAATGTGATATTTTTAAGGAGACATTTTAGTGTAAATCCAATCAGGCAAATGGAAATTCGCTTAGTCTGCAGGTTTGCTGCGGCGGGGGTATTTTTTTTTAACATGCACAAGCTATAAGTTAGATAACATCCACTAGTTTTTAAGTTATTTAAATTTTTGTAACAAATTAGGATCACCGGAATTTTATCCCCCAGAAATTTTACCCCCTGGGCAAAGCTACCGTCACTACGACTTAGTAACCTGAGCGCTCAAAAGTTTGTTCGCGGCCGGAATTTTTCCCCCGCGGATTCGGAAGTATGCTAAATGAAAATAGACAGCGTGATTAATTAGATTAGCAATAAAAACCGGAATTTTAACCCCTGTCCATATAACTAGCGTTTAGACAACTGAAGAATGAAGATGTATGGGCCGGATGTTTACCCCCAGATTTTTACCCCCCGGAATTTCACACCTTAGCCGGATATAGAAATTATTAAGAATGATTGATTTTCTTATTTCTATTTTTATTTAATTGTAAACATTTTATTATTAAATAGCCTAACTTATCTTTATTTAAACATAAATTCACTGTTTAATTTTGATCATATTAACTAACCAACAGTTGGCTGTTGGCTTCAATGATTAAATCCTGATATTCGAATCTCAAAATTAAAATTAAAAACCTGTTTGATTTAGTTGATGTTACAAATAAATCAAGATAGCTACTCAACAATAAAATGTTTACTATTAAATTAAAATTGAATGAAGAGTCTTAACCATTCTCACTAATTTATATATCTAGCCAGGGGGTAAAAATCCGCCCGGGGTTAATTACGGGGGTAAACTCAGCTTTGAAGGTGTAGCGTCAGCTGATGTCTTAGCAACCAATATTTATTCTCGCTATTGGAATTTTACAGGAATGTACACAACTTATAGTTAACTCTTTATTAAAAATACTTTTCTCTTACTCATTTGATCGTAAGTTTATTGAACTACACACAACTATGACCAATGGATCTCCTAAGACCTACACCCGCATCATGCCACAACATACAGGATCGTTTGTTTTCAAGAACCTCAGCACTTGTGATTTTGTCTTCCTCCGTCAAGATAGTTTAAGAAGATCTTAACAGGCCCCATATGCTGGTCCCTACAAGGTCATATGTGCCGTGATGACAAGCCAATCACAATCATTATAAGAGGCCAAACAACTTAAGTGTCTTTTGACAGGGTCAAGCGGATAGTGTCTTATATTGTCGCGGATGAAAATCGTTTTCCTGAGCCTACGAAACGTTTGGTGCCACCTGGACTTAAAGCGGAGGAATCCTCAAACCTACCACCTTGTAAAACTCCACCTGCGAAGCCGTATCAAACTCGTTCTGAAAGACAAATCCGACCCTGGGTTACTCTTCAGAATATATAGATTCCTTTTCTCTGTGGGAGGCTGGTGTAGCATCAGCTGATGTCTTTGCAAACACTATTTATCATTCTTGCTATTGGGTTTTTAGAGGAATGTACACAACTTGTAACTCTTCATTTTATCTACTAGGTACGTTTTTCTTTGATCATAAGTTTATTGAACTACACAAACAACTAGACCAGAAAGTCTCCTCTAGCGAAGTTGCAAAAATTTACACATTGTTCATCATAGGCTAAACTCTGTTAGGTACAAGAGTTGGTTTAACTTACTGCTAGTAAGCTGTTCGATACATGATAGGCCTATAGGACTAGAAGTTATATATTGTGTACTGTAATTGTATTGTAAATCGTCAGAAAAGTTTGTTTAAGTAATTGTAGTCTTAACTCAATAGAGCGTATTTATCTATTCGTATAGCCTGTTTATTATTACACAAAATTCAGTATTTCTAACTAAATAGCCTAGCCTACTTAGATTAATCACTAGAGATAACATTTTGAGGAATTTACTTACCCATGAACATTTGTAGGCTTATCAGCCATGTGGTTCACCGGATCAAATCCAGATGCATCCCCAGAGCAACACTGGTCACTCTACACCCATGACTCCTGCGGCTCTAACAGGTAATTTGGTACATAGGCTAAGTTTGCCAACAACTCTACTCTTTTTTTGTGATGTAGGCCTACTCTTGTTATGCAGTTAATTAAGATGCCCCATTTTTTTTTTTAGATCCAAAAGTCATATGGGCCTATGATTTAAAAGGTCTAGCCTACACAGGGTTTCCCTAAGTACTCAGCCAAAATCTGGGAAATGGTTTTATAGATCAAAATAAAGAGAAAAATGAGACACACTGACTAGCGCACGACCTTAATTTAACCTTATTGTATAAGAAATAACTAAAAATCTTCATATATCAGCTGTGATATTTATTAAGTTATCCCATCTTTTTTATTAAGGTGTCTTTTGATGGGAAATTAAAAATTATATGAAAGTGCTCTTGACATTTTTTCATAAAATTGGCCATTTTTTGGGAGCCTAAGTTAGCCTACAAAAAGTAAAATGGCCGCCATTTTGAATCTTCAAATTGGACAGACTTAACTTTACTTGGCAGATATCTGGTTGAATGAATAAATGATGGTGATTTACTCTAGAAAAATTTGCTATATGGTACAAAAGTTTATATTTTAAAATGCCAGGCATTAATTTCAGCAAACATAAATTAACTTAAATTTGGGCCTGCTACAAAAATATGGCAGAGGGAAAAAATTAACAAATGAACTTTAATGTTGAACGATAAAAAGTAACAAAACGAAGATAAAAATAAACTTTATGGTTAGTGGAGTGGACCTTTATATTGTCTCATAAAACCATTTCTCAGAGTTTGGCTCTTTACCTATGGGACACCCTGTTTACTTTCGTAGGTTATACTACAAATTGCATACCTATGCCTATTTTCCAGGCCATCATCAATGGAGACCTAAAGTAGCCTATTACCAGTATTGAGGAATAAGTATTTTTTTTCTGATTTGTCTTGATTTATTTATTTAATGTTAGTTTGTTAGGTGTTAGGTCCTAATAAAAGAATGTGTCTCTAAGATTTTGAATGTTTGTTCTATTTAGAAAGATGTTAATTGTATCAGAGTGTAGGCCTAATGATGAAGAGGTTAGAATGTTTGTCTACCATTCACGCTATAGGCCTAGTCTCTTCTTAGCGCATATCTACAGCCGAATGTATGAGTCAGTAATACTAGGCTGACGTTCGCTGAGGCGTCCACAAAATCGTGTGGAGTTATCAGGGCATTGTCATTGCCCCTTACCATCATTCTTCATTATTAAGTTATTTTACCTTCAATATTGGAGTGAGTAAGACAGTTACATATTGTTCCCAGTGAATAGAAGTAAAATCCACAGTGATCTCATCTATCTATATATATAATACGCTAAGCCGATTTTTGTAAACAGAACTCCTCCCTCATTTTTTGACCGATTTTGATGATTAAAGTGTCAAAAGAATGGCCCTGATCTGTAGTTTTGCAAAGTGTTTTTATTTTTTTGAAATCTTTATTAGTTCGGGCTGGATCTTCCATTAAAGTTGGGGTTTTTCCCATAAGATTAAGATGGGGGAATCTAAATATTTAATTGGAAAATTTGTCTCCAGTAATTGAAGAGAACGACTGGGCGTAGAAACTTGGTAGAGGTGTCCAAAGAAAGGTCTTGGTCTGTAGATGAGTTATCAAAAGAAAAACGAAGTAAATTCGCTTAGGGCTCTGCCCCAGAAGCCTTAAAGGATACCTCCACAGATTTGTTTACATTTTGGCCATGTGGATAGTACTTTTTAATGAAACAGCTGTTAATTTTTAAATTGTATTTTAAACAACAAACATTTATTGAGAGTTAGTTACTGAATTGTCCAAAGAAAGTATTTGCAATGTTATTTTCTTGAACTCTTAGAGAGCCTTTGAATATTAGGCTAACGAAATGGGTTGTGCATTTTTACTAGCGCGCTACTCAGCAACACAAACAATTTAATTTATCTCTAAAAAAAACATATTCTTAAAGTGCACTGAGCAGCAGCCTAAAAAATACTATGTAACTTCCTCATATAGTTACAAAATGCTCAAACTCGCATTTTGACATTTATGAATCGGCTTATATTTCTCCAACAGTTATTCATCTGCAGAAGATGTTCAGTGTGCTCTTATCGTGTCTAATAACATACAAACACAAAACCTTGCCTAAAATGGTACCTATCTTGACAAATTATTTGCAGTGGCCTATATAACGGACCGTGGCCAACTGGATTGGTAGGTAACATTATTGAAAGTAACACGATATTTTGGCTGTAAGAGTAAATACTATTTAAGCAGCTACTGTCATGACAGAAAGTCATGTTCCTTTTAAACTAGATTGCATTATCCTTTATAAGATACGTTGATTAAGAATGCATGTAAACGTCAATATTTACTTAACAGCCAATTTAAAGAATGTTTTTTCTCTTCGGAAATGCCACATTGCTATTTAATTTGCATTATTTGTTGCCAATGAAGCCACACGACCATATAAACGAGGAGGCCCCTAACCGTCCATTTCGACGGGTTTCACCTAGTTATATGTATTTTCAGAGACCTGTATATTTACATTTCAAGCTTAAAACCCTTGAAGTATGCAAACTTGTAGATAACAGAGAGTGATACAGTTATAAATAGTGTAAAGTAGAATCCAACCAAAATAGTTTCGGTTTCTACCATAACTGCATAAAAGTTTTACTGTTTGCAATGGTAAGTGTAAGAAGGTAAACACAAAAGATATATATCTCCCTTATATCTGACCCCCTGAAAACTAAAAGAGTTGAACCAACCAAACAATTAGATAAAACTATTCAATAAACTAATTTACATCTAGGCTACTGCAATATTATTTCATAATATACAATAGGCCTACTATTTATTGATACGGACAATTAATTTTAATGACATTGAACATTCCTTACTAAAACTGTGATATTTAAACAATGATTATCGACTTGCTTATTTGTCCAGACCGAGCTTTTTTAAATGCTTGTCGGTCGTTACTTTGGAAATCTAGGGTTAAAAAATAGTACATCTATCAGTGGAACTAGGCTCTAATATAATATGGTTTTCATTCAAACCAATTCATCACTGTATGGACTACTATTAAACATTAAATTTAAAGGATTTCTCAAGTACGCATATTTCATATAAAAAAAAATAATTTTAACTAAGATAGCCTACTATTATTTTGTAGCGATGGGCTGGTTAGAGATGATTTATTTTTGAGTGGGTTATGGTTGGTGCTGGCTGGCTGGGGGTTACATGAAATCAGGAACATGAGATTAAGGCCCCTTTTAATCACCGTGGCAGCCCGCCAGGGGTTCCCCGCCGCGGTTTTGTAAATGCATTGCCGTAAATGGGTGCTTTTATTCAAATAGGAGCGGTCTCTGAAGTTGCGGCTAGCCGCGAAGGTTTGTAAATTCATCCTAAGTTACCACATGGGTGGTTAGGTATTGGTGTACTTCAAGAAATGTCTGGTCAGACTAATTTAACTGAGGGCTTAGGAAGCGCTGGATCTGTTTAATTAAAAGGAAAAAAGGCTTTACTCTTGCTAAACATCCTGAGCCATCTATTTACGAGCTGTGATTAACCAATTTGTACTATGTTCAACTTAATAAACAACCTGAAAATCTAATATCTGCATTGATATGAATAAATTAATAAATGCCTTGATATTGAATAGGCCTACTGAATTTTAGACTGATAATTTATGGACTAGTGAATTACTTGGATTGGAAGGAGATAAAAGTTTTTAGATCAGTTTAATATCATGTGGTTAGATTGTCCAAATAGATGCTGGATTTAATAAAAAGGAAACTCTTTAAACACACAAGCAAACTATTTCCTTAAACCCCTGGTTTCTCCACAGCAACCCCTGACTAAAGCTGAACTATTGCATACTAAAGAAGTTAACTTAACCAAAATTAATAATAATAATACCCTACTCTCAGACTCAGGTAGGCTACTTAGGTAGAAAACTCTGATCCTGTTTATTTGCAATAGGTCTTGGGCGAGGGAGGTTGGATTTGTTTCGTTTCCGTTTCTGCGGCTGACTATTGATTTACCAGCCATTTACACATTGTCCTAAAATAGCTAAAACCCTAAAGCTGTTATTTAACTGAAGGTTCTTAGACCAAAAAATATAGAATAATGTAGATAGAACTGGTGAAAAACATTTTTAATTTAAGTAAGGATTTCAAAAAATAAAATGTATGTTTGATGGTCGAGTAATACAGTAGATCAAAGAATGATTTTATGTAAACCGACAATTTTGTCTAAGTTAAAACATGTAGTTCTGTTCTGTCCGAATGAAATCCCACGTAATTTATATTAGCATGTGGTTTTCATGCAAACGAATCCATAGATAATATGAGTGCTACTATAAAACTATTAAAGAAGCTTTCCCCAAGTAAGCTTAGGGAACTACGAACACACCATATCAGCTATTATTTAATTAGATATGATGTTGTTTGAATTTAAACAGGTTTATGTTGGATCAATACTTACTTGATTAGTATTAAAATAATAGTTTTCATTCAAACCATTTCAACACTATTATATGTTCCTAAATAAACTTTTTCCAAGTAAGCCTTGGGCAGTGTTGTTAAATTGTATCGTACTCTTGTACAATAATCGCAAAGTAAATGGCTTAACATTTTTTTTATAGCATTTCAAATTGTCTATTTTGTAGGGTAAAACTAATAAAATTTTGCTACAAATACTTAATAATAAAATAAAATAAATTTGGTTAGTCCATGTAGTAAATACTAAATTATATTCAAACTAAAACCAAGAATTAATCATGCTAAATAATAAATAACAAGATGATTAACAGCCTGAATATTAGAACAGAAACGGTATTGATTATAAGCTTAACAAAATTACGTCATTGGCACAAAAGTAAACATTTTTTTGTATTATTATTTATATGAAACTATCAAAGTTGTCCATACCATATGTTAATCTAAATAGTTTAAGGTTCCAACTAGTGCAACGTCATTTGTTCATGTTTATGATCCATACCGTTTCGGTTTTAATATCCGTAATCAACAGTTAATATAATTCTATCGGCTGTTTCAAAATGCGTTGCATTCAAGATAACGGCTGATCTCATGCCTTTGTTTATGTGTCAAATACTGCTTCCATAAGGATTACAATGAAACTTTAATTGAGACCATGTAGGGTGGATTCCTGGGATAATATTTTAATGCCATATAGATGTTGGCACTCACCAAATAGTATTTATCACCATCCAGAAATTTTGAAAATAATTGCTTCAGCCATTTATAAGGGGTTTGTGTATGACAAAATGGACAACAGTTGATGTAAAGGAGCTTTGCTCGCTCCGCTCAAAAAAGGGATTGAGGGTGTGATGATTTTATTGTTTGTATGCTCTACCTTGTGATCTTGCAAATTTGTACACATTTCTAATAGAGATTGGAAATACTATTACTTAGCAAAATTAGTCAAGAACGTTCCATAACAAAGTAAAAGGTGAAATAATACTATTTTGTCACCTATTACTTCCCTGTCCTAGATTAGAGTTATTGTATTTCTTGCCGCAATAGTAAGCACGCAGACTATTACTATTACTTGATGATGCTACCTGTTAATAGGAAGAAATAATTTGTATTATTCAACTCCCTTGTTCTATTTCTGCTCTATGTTTGTAGGTGATCCGCTTGTGAGCATGCCCGAGCCAATGATGGGGTTCCTCCCGCCATATTTAATGAGTTACCACCCTGCCATGGTGCTACAGCCACCCCCCTCAGATCAAAGATCTCCCTTGGTCAGTCGTACCAACTCACCTTGCCAGGTTGGAAGAGATTTACTGGAAAACAATTTTTTTATATTATGAAAATGTCTACCATAAAGGTGGAACTACTGAAATATAGTGTCCAAATTGTAATCTATATAATCTGAGTGATAGAGTTCATTTAAGCTTAAAAGGTTTTTAAATACCCTTAGTTTTTAATTTTATAAACTTTAAGTGTCTTTGTTTTATTAGGGTTTTGTGTTAAACAGAGTGTTTTGTTTGATTTAACTGTAAAAAAAACAAACGCAAGTAGCCTATGCCTCTATCGCTCAAGAGATTGAGTTTATGTCCTTAATATGTGTACGACTTTGCTTCTGAAATATAAGTTTTGGTCCTGCTTCAGTGGTTGATACTTTTGTGTTATTTATTTTTTCTTTGTCCTCAAAACAGGAAATATATGAATATGATGTTTTGGAGAAAGTTTGAGTGTGTTGCAATCTAGCTACCATTAGAGCATTTTTACGCATATAGTTACAGTTTCATGAAGTGTTTTATTAGTTTTATGTTCTCATTGTTGTACAAATTGTAAAAACTTGAACTAGAACTTTGATTGCAGTCTGCGGTTATTGAAACTGAACTTAAGTTATTTTCTGTATTGATCCAGAAAATTGATATCTGTGAAACAAGAAATATAAAGTTTATAAAGGGAACTTGCAATATATAGGGACATATAGTTGATGTTTTCTCTTGTTACAGTCTAACTCCCCTAGTAGAGCGGGCTCACCAGGGAGACCGAAGACTCTGCCTCAGTCGTTCAACCGACCTCCGCCCCCCGTCATCGACCCTCTAAGGGTTGAACAGATGGGTAAAGATGTGCCACACAACTTGCCTAATGCTGGGAAACCAACGTCCATGGAACAGGTACAAATCTGTGTGTCATTAGATCAATAAGACATGAATGATTCTTGGTAGGCTACTTTGGCCAAGCTAAAAATTACAGTAGCATTATTTAATATAGTATTAAGTACTGTATTTGCAAAAGATTGCGATTTTTTAAGAATCTCGCAAATCATTTCACTCATGCAGTGTAGCCAATTAAAGGTAGAGTTAGTTGATAACTCAATTGTTGCACCAGTTGAGACGGCTGACTGATGAGGAACTACGAGAGCAAGGGTTCAACAACCTGTCTATCAACCAGTTCCGTACGTTGGAGACCAAGCTTCAAGCTACCAATGGTTACAACCTTCCGGGCAAGAAGTTACCTCCCGTAGAACCTGAGCCTGCGCCCGCAGCTGACGTCTCTGTAAGTTCAACTTAACATGTTTTAGTTTTAGTAGTTTTACTAATTGTCAAAATCAGAATTTCTAATATTGAAACCGGAACATAATATCAAATCTTAACTCTCCTGCTACTATTTTTTTGCTTCTATAAAAATATCAAAATCAGTGTAACATTAGGCAGATACGAAATTGATCTCACTTTGTATCATCCAGTTAGCATTATACAGGTTGTTTGAAGGTCAGTTAGCTTAACTCATAATTTATCTTATCATAAGGTTGTTTTTTTAGGCTACCAAATTTATTATTTATTTAATAGTTACTCTCAGCTATATATTAAAAGATAAATTCGTAAGTGCCACAATCTATTTTAGAGGTCAGTAGCTAATTGTGCTTAGACTGTCACTAAACTATTATTTGTCGGTCTTACCGATATTAGTTTATTTGTAGGTCAGTGGCTGAAGTTGTTCCTCTGTAATTTTTTTTCAGTATGTTACATTATGTGTTTGTATTTGTGTACACAGGCCGCTGGACCGTTGCGGAGGTACAACAGCATGGACGGCCCACTCAACCCTGCGCCGCCTCAGCCGCAGTTTTACTACCCGTGTATCACGTCACCGTCGTGTCTGGCGTGCATGGTGGGCTACCGTGGTGCGCCACACGCCAAGTTCCCTCTGGTACATCAGCTCAAGTGCATGAGTCTGGAGAACGACGCCAGCCTTCACAACTCCAGTGCTAGTGACTCTGCTAGTGACCACTCACCACCCGACACACCTAGTCTGACCACTGCACCGTTAGAGAGAGGAGGTAATTATATCAACCAATTAAGCTTATATTCAACATATTTTCAAATAGTTTTCTTTTGTGGAATTGTTAAACATAGTACTAAAGACGCAAAACTGTTTTTAATGTCTAATGTGTGTAAAATTTTATCAATCTGTGATTGTGGCCCTAGTTGGTATTTACTACTGTAACAGCGACATCATCCTTAACGGAAAAACATGAACATCTACTGGGATTTAGGAGATGTCATCATTGTCACCAACCATACCGACAAAATCGTGAACATTTTGTCTGCTGTGTTCACGGGGACTTGTAATCGTAGGCACAAGTGTAACTCACGGTGACATCATCATATTCTCCCGCAAAAGTAGCGAATTAGTGGACACCTTCCTCAATTGCAAATACCAAGGGCTATTGTAATCCACCAAGCTGACAAAATCGTTCAGATCTCCTACGATGGCAGACACATCATCGTCATTTGCGATTGCGGCAAATTTCTTACAGCTAAAACATATCTCATACTGATTAAATCCAATCATACCTGAGGATCAGGAATGTATTTGTCCCAAATGTTTTCTAGAATTTTGGGAACCGTTTATTCATTGAGTTACCAGTAGGTAGCGAAGGTTGTGCACATAAGTAGAAGCTTTATAAGAAAAATATAGACTTGGTTGTTGTCTCTAGTATTCAGTTTAGTAACAGTAGCAGTGTTTGTAAACAGATGTGTGATGTGTATGTGTCACAGGTCCAGTGGTAACAGTTGTTTGAGTTGTCACAGGTCCAGATGTAACAGTTGTATGATGTGATACAGGTCCAGCAGAGGTGTGGGAGGAGCAGAGGTTACCAGAGACAAGTGACAGGATAGTAGCTGGACATGGACGTTCACGAGGAGCTGGCCGCAGCAGTCGTACCAACCCTCCTGGAATACAGACCTTGCCTCGGGGCCGTGGACTCAATCCTGCTCATAGGTACACTTGAATTTGTTGTCACTTTGCCAACAACTTCTCAACAGATATTACATCTTGATAATTTAATGGTATTGGGAAAACTATTCACAGCTAATTTTAACATGAAAATAGTTCCAGTTAATAGCATTCAATAATCTAACATACAAGTTTATTTCATATTTTGCCCCAAAAAAACTAACTCCAGAAAGAAATGGTATGTTAAAGTTGTATTTTAACACTTAAAATAATTTTCTACTAATATTTTTTTTTTTCACCGTCACATTTATTTTGATTTTGTAGGCGTCAAAAATACACACTTCCTGCACTTTTTATGGACGACATTTGTAGAAAGTAGTTGTACAAGTTTTGGAAGAAATAAATAGTGGAAGCATCTCTAGAAGAATTAGTTAAAGCAGATCAACAGTCAGTTTGAAGAACCCTTGCCACAAGCTTAATGTAATGTTTTTATTAGTTAGAGGATTCCTATAAGAAACGTATTAATACTGAACTCTAATTATGTGCAAAAGCCTTATATAAAAGATTGTACGTCTGTTCAGCAGATGGAATTTCTGCTTGTGTACTGGTTTTCGTAATACGACTGATGCAGATAAAGGAACATGGTGCACGCTGATGTAAATTAAGATTTTAGTATGAAAAATGTTATTACAGTAGTGTGAAACTGACTTTCTTTTATCACTTATTGGTATGTTGTGCTCCTAAATTATATCATTCAATCTTCTCAGCAACGCATTTAAATACATCACTACCGATTTACATTATAGGTATATTTTAACTGTTGCTGAAAATCTCAGAATTTGGTGTTAAATCACATGCTTGTAGAAATTCATAATCTGTTGGAGGTTTCACCCCTAGAAGACACTATGACATCTGATATTTGACATCTATGTAAAGTAACACATGATGAAGATTCAAAACATCACAGAGGCAGCCAAAAGCATATTCTTAGATTGAAAATACTAAAATCACTATAGTTTAAAGAATCTGGGAGAAAGATAAGTATTAATAAATAAAAGTATATATTTGAAATAACAAACAGTTGAAAAGTAATATACACACTGACAGCTGATCAGAGTTGCAACAAGGAAAGGTTATCAACTACGAGTTTTTGAGACTAAAAATATGAAAAAATTAGCAATTCCCTCACAGATTTGTTTATTGACCCTTAGGTCAAGTTCAAAAAGAAAAAGAAGTTTTGAAGAAGATGCAATGCTGATTTGTTTATTGACCTTTAGACAAGTTCAAAAAGAAAAAGAAGTTGTGAAGAAGATGCAATGCAGATTAGTTTATTGGCCCTTAGACCAGTTCAAAAAGAAAAAGAAGTTGTAAAGAAGATGCAATGCAGATTTGTTTATTGACCCTTAGACAAGTTAAAAAAGAAAAATAAGTTGTCAAGAAGATGCAATGCAGATTTGTTTATTGACCCTTAGAGAAGATCAACAAGAAAAATAAGTTGTGAAAAAGATGCAATGCAGATTTGTTTATTGGCCCTTAGACAAGTTCAAAAAGGAAAATAAGTTGTCAAGAAGATACAATGCAGATTTGTTTATTGACCCTTAGACAAGTTCAAAAAGAAAAAAAAGTTGTGAAGAAGATGCAATGCAGATTTGTTTATTGACCCTTAAACAAGTTCAAAAAGAAAAATAAGTTGTGAAGAAGATGCAATTAGTAGATTAATCGACCCAGGATGGGATGATTAGTGTAATAGAACTGTAACAAATGAGAAACCTCCTGAAGTAGGCTTGATTGTATGGAGTGACCAAGTGACCATGTCGGAAATAAATTATTGCGAGGCTTACAATCACTTCAGATTTGAGTGGCCACAGGAATAAGTAAGTAATTAGTGCACCTCAGTTAAAATAACATCAGGACTTATAAAGATAAAATAATACAAATAAAACTTTTTTTATAGAATAATTGCTATTGACAATGCTATGCTACTGTGCCTTTGTCAATATCAGGCAAAAGAATAATTGGGGCATTGGTTTATTGAGATTGGTAAGGTCTTTTTAGCCATTGAGTAGCTGATTATCAAAGCAGAAATATCAAAAAGTCATAAATATTTAATAAATGTTTTATACAATACCTATTCTATGTTATGTATGTGAATAAAGGCTGATGATTGTTTAAGTAACTTGCTGGTTTACTTACATATTTATTTACTTATGATAAAACTCTTACGTACTTTTTTTATTCTTATTCAAAAATTAGTAATTGATGCAAATAAATATATGCTTAGCTCATGCCGTACAACAAAATAATTTTTTTGACATACTAAAAAATCCACTGTGTTCTCAAACAATTTTTTTGTAGAATCCCAAATTTGTATTTAGGCTATTGATAAACGGTTTTTACGTTTCAATTTTTTCACAGGCGGAGGGATGCAAACTCTGCTAATGGCTCGGTAGACGACCGCAAAGTGTTCAATAACGAAGGAGGCAACGGCGGAGGGGTGACTTTCCCCTTCACCACCCCGTTGTATCCCCAGAATCAGTTCGTACATGCAGCCGCCTTCCCGTCATTCACGTCGCAGGGCTCCGTTTACCATCGACTGCCTCTACATCATCCCAACGGAGAGATGCTGTTCCATCCGTTGCCGCCACCTCCCACGACACAGTTCCTGCCCACACGGCCTGCGCTGCCGCATATGCCTTTCTCGCCCCTTGTCCCTCCGCCTAAGATCTCTTGTTACAACTGTGGCAGTCAGAGTCACATCGGCCCGGACTGTCCCGAGGCTACCATTGAGGAGATTACCAACAAGGGTGAGTTCAATGAATCCCACACCACCCAAATCGTCATTCTTGACATTTTAAATTATATAAAAAAAGTATATACAACAAAGTATTTGAGGAAAATAATCCGCAGATAAGATAAATCAAATTAACAAAACTACTTGAATTTGACATAACTTAACCCAAACAAACTTCCTCCAATACTTCCAATACCAAACATTTTGAATTTTGTTCTCCACGAATCACAAAAACTGAAATAATACAACCTAATCTAATCTGTCCATAAAGGAACCAACCAGCCGGTGAGTGTCCACCCACACAGGACAAGCCTCTCTCTTGTGCTCTTGTTATGTGTTGCTGACCGTGTATGTGTTATGTGCAGGTCAATACAAGATCGACTACACCAACAACCATCCCAAGCCTGGCGAGTGTCCACCCACACAGGACAAGCCTCTCTCTTGTGCTCTGCTATGTGTTATGTGTTGCTGACCGTGTATGTGCTATGTGCAGGTCAATACCAGATCGACTACACCAACAACTATCCCAAGCCTGGCGAGTGTCCACCCACACAGGACAAGCATCTCTCTTGTGCTCTGTTATGTGTTGCTGACCGTGTATGTGTTATGTGCAGGTCAATACCAGATCGACTACACCAACAACTACCCCAAGCCTGGCGAGTGTCCACCCACACAGGACAAGCCTCTCTCTTGTGCTCTGCTATGTGTTATGTGTTGCTGACCGTGTATGTGCTATGTGCAGGTCAATACCAGATCGACTACACCAACAACTATCCCAAGCCTGGCGAGTGTCCACCCACACAGGACAAGCCTCTCTCTTGTGCTCTGTTATGTGTTGCTGACCGTGTATGTGTTATGTGCAGGTCAATACCAGATCGACTACACCAACAACTACCCCAAGCCTGGCGAGTGTCCACCCACACAGGACAAGCCTCTCTCTTGTGCTCTGCTATGTGTTATGTGTTGCTGACTGTGTATGTGTTATGTGCAGGTCAATACAAGATCGACTACACCAACAACTATCCCAAGCCTGGCGAGTGTCCACCCACACAGGACAAGCCTCTCTCTTGTGCTCTGTTATGTGTTGCTGACCGTGTATGTGTTATGTGCAGGTCAATACAAGATCGACTACACCAACAACTATCCCAAGCTTGGCGAGTGTCCACCCACACAGGACAAGCCTCTCTCTTGTGCTCTGCTATGTGTTATGTGTTGCTGACTGTGTATGTGTTATGTGCAGGTCAATACAAGATCGACTACACCAACAACTATCCCAAGCTTGGCGAGTGTCCACCCACACAGGACAAGCCTCTCTCTTGTGCTCTGCTATGTGTTATGTGTTGCTGACCGTGTATGTGTTATGTGCAGGTCAATACAAGATCGACTACACCAACAACTATCCCAAGCCTGGCGAGTGTCCACCCACACAAGACAAGTGACCTCGCCTCTCTACTATAGTTACGTCTTCCAGCACCAGCGCAGCGCCATTGTCACCGTAAACTATTTATTTCTATGATTACTTTTTGTTTTAATAGTGTAATTAGCCTTATCTGTGCACATTCTTTTATATAATTTTCTAAGCGTATAAATTATTTAAAGTCTTAACGCTTATCACGGCAGGTGAAGCTGATTCGTATTATTTATTGTAGTCGGGATATTATTATTTTTTTAGTCCGACTTTATTTATGTCTTAAGGTGGTCACACCGACTATATAGCGTCCCTTTATGACTCAAAGTATTTTGTTATACCTTTTTATTGATTGAAAACCGTTTTTATATTTATACTGAAATATTTTCTGTAATATTAATCTTGAACAGATTTTACTGAAGTTAACAACCCGATTTACACTCACACGATGAAGCTCTCTCAGAAAGTGTCCTTATCGACAGATCGGTGATGATCCCGGTACTTAATCGCTTGCTTCACATCGTCTCTAAGTGACATCTACTGTTGAGTCTAGCGTTTCACAACTACGGTAGTGATTTGTCTGTGTTCATTGCTGTAAATACCATTAATGTTACATTTGTGTAAATAGATTTACTATAAATACTACCAATAAGTCATGAAAAATATATTTGTTAAGTTGTAACGTGTGAGTTAAAAATATTTTACCTTTGTGTATTTTAAAGGAAAAAAGATAAAAAATATTTGAATAAAAAGAAAACCTCTATTTTTTGTGTATTTATTTATCCCTTACTTCCTTCCTTCAATTATCAATGATCTTTATTTAGGGGATTATGAGTGTCTATAATTTGTATGATTTTGCCCCTGTGTTTGTGTTGTGTGAGTGTGAAGCCTCTGTTATTTGTAAGAAGACTATACAGTAAATAATTTTGTCATTAAAGGATATTGGTTCAATGGTGTGTAGTGTCAAGAGCCTTGGAGAACAAATAAGGGCAACACACAAGGGCTTGGCAATTTCACCTCAAAAACAGCTAATATTCAAGGTATTTCAAGGCAAACCTAATTTCATGTTAATTTGGACTTTGTTGCTGTAACTTACAGTTTATAGTTGTTTAGATATGTTGTTTTAGTGCTCAACGAATACAATTAAATGTGAGGTTGCTGGCTAGATCCTGAGATATAAGTGTCTCTTGGAGGTTGGAACTTGACTCATCTGCAAGTTACTTGATCATTGGGCTTATAATAAATAATAATGGCCAATAGAGCTAACTGGTCCTAGAGAAAAAACTATAATCTTATTTTTCCTCTGTCTCATCTTAAAATACACACCCTTGTTGGTAAGTCAACAGTCTGGAGTCAACATATTAAATTGAATCAGGGGTACCGCAAGGCAGTGTTCTTGGTCCTATTTTATACATTTTGTTCACTTATGATCTACCAAGAAGGGTATTTCAGTTGCAACGTTTGCAGATGACACTGCTTTTTTATCAAACCAGGATCATATTTTGGCATCATCAAACTTACAGGCTGCATTAGACTACAAAATTGGAAAATTAAATTAAACGAAACGAAGTCCATTCAAGTTACATTTACTATGTCAACAAGAACTTGCCCACCAGTAACATTGAATAATGTCATGCTTCAACAAGAAAAGAAGTTAAGTAGGTACCCTACCTCGCTATGCACTCAACAGAAGACTTTAGACCTACACCAGCTCTGGGGAACCTCTTCAAACTCAAATAGGTAAAGAAATAATTCAAAGATTTCAATCCAAAACACTTAGAAAACTTTTACAAGCACCTTGGTATGTATCTAATAAAGTTATTCATCAAGATACAAAATTAACTTTTCTTTAGAGAAGAAATAAAGAAACGAAGCGAAAATTGTCAAAGAAAATCATCCAAATTTCCAGGCAGTCAACTTCCTCGATAATAGCGAAGCTACTTACAGGCTCAGAAGAATACATCCAATCTATATTCCAAATTGTTTCTAGTTTATTTTTTATAAAATGTTTTGCTTTGTATGTTAGTGCACTCGCTGGAGTGTTAAGTGTTAACATAACACAAGCTGCTATACGGGTGCTTGGCAACGGGAAGAAAATTTGACCTAGAGAGCTATTAAAGTGGTGCCGATGTGCGTTACAGCGATAATATACAACTAACAATAATAATACAGCAACTCTATGGTTTAGTTTGAAAATATAAACTGATTTAAAAGCGTAAACCTACTTACTTTCAAACCCCTACTTTTGATGTTGAAATGAAATGAAATAATATTTTTAAATGAAATGTTTCCCATAAATTATATACGTATATAAGTACATTTTATTTTTTTAAAATATTACAGCAAAAATTACTAACTATATAACTAAACAAAAATTATATTCTGTTGAAAGAGATGTTATTGATTTATGTTAATAGATCCATAAGAATATGAAAACATACCTTAGTGTAGCAATAACATCAATTGCTTCATATTGATGATTCATGAGTGACATGTTTTACCATAATTCTTCAATAGTCAAGCCTCTTCACATGTAGCTTACTATATAAATTTAAAAAATGAAACTTTGAGCAATACTACAAAACTTATACAACCTCACTTTAAAACCAAACATAACCCTCCTTTGCTCCTTAATCTACATAAAGCGTCACAAACATCTTTTTCGAGTAAATAAACAAACACCAGTTCATTGTACTGACCAGCTGTTTCATTAACTAAATTAAATTAAATCATTTAAACATTAGGAGCATGCCAGGCATAGCCCTTTGGAAATCAGCCTGTATTAGGAAACTCGTACATATCAATACTTTTCGGCAAATCTACACACTCTAAGCTTCATTTTGATGTGCCATATGCCTTTATTTTTATTTGGTAAATACCTTAACCGCGTTTACATAAAATTTGATCGTATCACTTTAATAATATAATAGATAGCCCCGTTAACTCATGTTTAATCGTCATGACTCATGACATTTACTTATTGTTCCAGTATAGAACAGATTGTAAATAAAATACTTGTCAGAAAAAAATAAAAAAAGATTTAAACGGATTTTACTTAAGCCTAATATGTCATGTCCAATAATCAGGTGATGGGGAAAAAGTATGGCCATGGCCATCACAAACAGAACAATGAAAGAAAAGATATCAGGCACAGGCAGGTCACAAAGACAAAATGGAGACGGCAGGGCGTCCATTGAACCGTTGGTGTTCCATGTTCCATCGATCTCATACTACTTACTAAAACAATAGATAAAACATACTCGGCTACCTTTAACTCCGTTGTAGTAATATAGAACGAGTAGTAATAGTCCTTGGTCCAGACATTGATTATTCCTTTGGTAAATATAAAATCAATGGTACCAGGTTTTTTTCGGCCATGGCAATCCTGTTTGTTGATTACCTAGCCTGATTGGTCCGAAGCTTGAGAAGACTCATCCCTGGACCGAATACGGACCCAAACTTTCCCAATATTTTTCCTAAGGGTAAGAATATATCAAATAAAGCAAAATACAAAAAACACTTAAATTAGCAAAATAAAATCATTATAGCCTATATGTGTAAGTAATAAAATAGTCTATCTGTGTGAGTTCAGATAAAGTAAGTACAGTACATAGTAACAGTACAAATACCCGTATAATGGCTACAGCTACATGGCAGTTAATCAAGCTTGCTGAAAAAGCAAACATGACATGAAACAACAAAGAGTGTCGTGTCGTCTGCCGTGTCAACAAGAACAAAAATAAATAAACCAAACCAAACCAAACCCTATCTATCTATAGGCCGCTATCTTCCTAATTTGTTTATTTCATACGTTACTGCCGGACAGCTACAAACGCGTTTTTGAATGTGTATAGTCTGTATTGTCATCGCCAATATACTATTTCATGATGTTCGTTGAAGATAAGTTATGTAATAAAAGCAGTAAGATAGTAATAATAGACACAGATGCTGGAATAGACGACGCCTGGGCTATACTAATGCTTTTAGCAGCTTCTCAGTCTGAAAATGTGTCAGTAGCTGGCATAACATGTGTTCATGGTAATGCAGAAGTTGATCAAATTTGTTTGAATGTCCTTAGGACATTGGAGGCTTCAAAGCGGCCAGACGTGAGTAATTCAATTTTAGCCTTTGATTACAAATATTTGCTTTGATTGCATTTTATGGGATGTCAAGAGAATTTAAAAAAATCATTGTGGCATAAGGCACCTACCAATCACTGCAGCAAAATACATCTTCATTAAACCCTGTGATTGTGTTAAAAAGGCCTAGGGTTAAGTTGAATAACATTTCTGTTTTCCTGGTTTTCAAGAGGCAACAAACTTTCTCATAAATCTGCCCAGACTTTGTTGACATTAAGCTTTACTAAGTTTACCGTACCCATTTGGAAAAACTTTGATATCTAGGCTATATATATAAAAGGCAAAGCCCTCACTGACTGATTCACTCACTCATCACTAATTCTCTTACTTCCCATTTACCTAGGAGGCTGAAATTTGGTACACTGATTCTTTAGGCAATAAATAGGAAAACTAAGCTGTTTTTATTCTGATCGGACTCTCGGGCTCCGCCCCAGTGGCTCTGGAGTTTCCCATGTTAACCTTATGAGTACCTACTCATATTTAAATGGAATTAATAAATCTTAACTGCTGTTTCAATTAAACAAGTTGGTTCTGTTCTATGATGTTCAATAGCATTTAAATTACAAGGATTACCAACAGGGTGCAGCACTATTATTTCTTTCACATTTATGACAACAGCTAATTTGCAACCAAAAGGTGAGTGAGCGTAGCGAACGAACTTCAACCTGGAGGCGAGTTAGCGTAGCGAACGAGCTAACCTGAAGGCAAGTGAGCGCAGCGAACGAGCTCCAACCTAAAAGTGAGTGAGCGTAGCGAACGAACTTCAACCAGGACGTGATTGAGCCATGCGAAGGAGCTCACTTATGAAGTTAAACGGGGCAAAGAACGTGGGTACAGCTGTCTATTTATAAAGCCAAAAGTACCCATGAACTTTTCATCAATCTACAAGAGAAATCTACAAGAACACCCCCCATAAACCATATAGGTACTTAAAATGTTCGTCATGATGAGAAACCTTGCGCAAAACTATACATTATTTCATAAATTGCCCTTTAAGGTCGTAATTCCTTTCTAAAGGGAACTTTGCATTACCTACTGTAATGTTAAAAATACCTCAGCTGTACTTATTTGTTTGTATTACTGTATTCTGTTTTGTTTATTTCAGTTTAACTTAACCAATCAATAATTTTATTAATACTTATGAAGTCAAAAGGGGTGAATCCCGTGGGTAACAGGCTAGTTCAACTTCATCTTAAATTATTATTGATTAGGTACCGTAACTTACAATGATAGGCTATTAAATTGTGATTTAAGTTATTGGTGTGAAGTTTGGTTAATTCAACTAACTTATTGATCCCCATTTAATTTTTGTAAGGTTTAGCTTTCAGCTGTTTCTGTCAATTTTTACTGAAATTTTAAAAGGCTAAAGTTGTGCTCTTTGCATTTTTATAATCTACCTAAGTTAAAAGTTGTTTTTCAGATTCCAGTTTTTAAAGGCGCTTCTTCCCCAATAATTGAGGTTGACCCACACTTTAAAAACTCTTGGAGGCCATTTTTTGGTGCAGATGGTTTCGGTTGTGCAGAACACAAATCTATGCCTGACCCAAGATTTGTACAAGAAGAAAATGGGATTGTGGCACTGAACAGACTGGTAAATGAGAACAAAGGTATCTAACTGTTATATTTTTGTAGACTTTTTTATTATCTAGTCTCCTAGGTCTTTTCTTTTATAATGATGTTATTTGGTCCAGGATTACTTCTTGAAAATTAGTAAAATGGTATAAGATTACCTGTTTCCGTCTATGATCCTAAATGTAGTAATGGTAGTAATGAGCAACCAGTTTATCTTGCTCATGGTTATAACCTCATCATCAGGCTCTTGCGAGGTCGTCGAGTTTTATAAACACACAAAACACTGACATTTAATAACACAAGACATTGACGGACGAATACGATTTAACATAAATTCGGGAACTAGTTCCACACAAGACGCGGCACGGGCAGATGTTTTGTCATGACGGAACAGTAAGTTTACCATTTTAACTAGGTCTTTTTGTTTATCAGATTGTTGGAAACAAAAGGTCAATTCATCAGTTTGAAGCAATACCACGTGTATTTCTAAACCCTTAAAGTTCTAACCTTCAAAGAATCAGAATATAGAGAGGAATCTCTGGTAAGAGCCGCCAGGGGCCTCATAGATTCTAAATACACCCCTGTACTTAGTTTTACTACCTGCGCCGGGACTATCCGTGTCCTGTGATAGGCCTATCAATAAAATGAAATGTTGGTTTTGTGGTAACGATTTTTGTGTGTGTATGACAGGTATATATTTTTTTCCTGTTACTAGTATCAAAATCACAAGCTGGCTGTTAACACAAATTCGTTAATACCAAAGCAAGAATGTAGTTCGGATTCCACACTATAGCCATCTGAAGTGATCAAATATAAAAATAGGCTACTTGGTTGCTTGACCATTTTGTATTTTGACTAAAATTAAACGTTATTAACTTTATTACTTTGACCTCAAAACAGTTTTAAAAATATTTTTATCTAGTTCCGATTAGGTGCGGCCATTTTTTTCAGGCCGTGCACGGCGTTTTTGGGCTTTATGCAGGCATCAGCGATAAATTATATATCTTTTTACAGAATAGAGCTAGAACAATGAGACTTGTACCATTATTTTTAGTGAAATCCCCTCTAAATAAGGTATTTTAAACATTTTCTCTAAATCAAGCATTAATGCCTTAAAATTGTCATATTATTTTGAAAATACTTTTCAACAAAGTGCAATTTTTATGAATTTAACCCTCCGAGCGTCACTCGTCGAAAAATCGACTCACGACACACTTTGTATAGTGTCACGCGTCGATTTTTCGACACACGAACATCATTTACGGCGAAGGCTCTATGACTGACTGAATCGGATTGAACTGGATCGAGTTAGGTATCGTTCTTTTCGTTAGATTCTAAGCTTTCTCCAGAGGTCTGTCTCTAAGCGCTTTATGTTCTCCGAGCCAATCGTAATTGTAGCAGACAGCTGACGTTCGTGTTTTAGACAACTTGGTTATTTCACATCGGTGACTTGTGTGTTTTTGTACGTTTATCGTCGTTTTTAGTGGTAAAAATGGACAGTAGTGATATACGTAATGCACTAGAAGATGATATTAGTGATGTTGAAGGACTTATTGACGATCCGGATGAAGTAGGTAGTGATATTGATGTAAATTATCAGCCAGATTCCTAGCTATGGTTAGGCTATGCATTCTTAGCTAAACGCTATGTACTGAAATCTGTTTTTTGCCCATAACTTATTTATTTGCAAATCTACTTCCTTATATTATTATATATTTGTAATCCTCATAAAATTTAGAACAAAGTGGCTATTTTCAAATATTTATAGGCCTATAATTTATACAATTTCATTGAGCGCGAACTTATTTTTTTTTCAATTTCCAAAATAATTTTATTTTTACCTAAAAAAATTTTTTGAAACAAATATTCCTTATGTTTTATGTATGATATTGAAGCCCATGATTTTCCAAACAAAATGGTATATAGAACAGTAGAATTAACATTGTTTTAAGCTTCTCAGATCCGTTTTAATAAAACCTTGCAAATGCGCCAAAAATAGGTGGACATTAAGGCCTAAACTATGGACACTCGGAGGGTTAAAGGAAATTTCAACTTTTGCACCAGCTTTTAATCCCCAGATTTAAGGATAGAAAATCTATACACAATCTAGTAAGTAACATTGCAATAGTAACCTTGTTAGAAAGTCAAAAGCTAGAATATGTCCAGAAAAAAAACAAGAATCAAAGTTAATGGAATACATGGAATAAATGGAAATAAAATATAAAAACAATGGTTCTATCTTAAGGATTGTAACCATTAAAGTAGGTATAATTTATTTTACTGCAGCCGAGGTATGATAATCACTAATCAGCATATTTTGTTATAAAATAGGATATTGAATGACAAAGTGGATGACTATTAATTAAATTAAAACTTTTAATATTTCAGGAAATGTTTCTCTGCTGTGTTTTGGTCCATTGACTAATGTTGCCCTAGCCATTCGAACTTTCCCTAGTTTTGAAGAAAATTTAAAAGAAGTTCTTATAATGGGTGGAAACTATATGGGTAAGTAAGTTTTAAAATCCTATGTTTTCGATCAATACAGGTCAAGTTTCAGTCAAAATTTGATCAATTTACTTGTAATTTTGAGTGAAATTCATTCAATCTTGAAAGAATATTTCTTAAAAAAAGATTTTATCTTCTTATAATCAATAAAAAATTAGCAAAAAGATTATCACTATGTATTTATTTTACTACCAATTGGGAGTTTTTTTGCTATTCCTCTTATGTTTTAGTTGTGAAAATACTTTATCATGTCATCATTGTTTGATAAAAAGAGTGAAATAAATAGAGAATAAGTATATTGAATGTATCTCTATTACTAAGTAGTAAAATGTATTATGTTTCAACACTGGTAATTTTGTTTTTTTAATATAGAATATATATAATATTTAGTTAATACACCAGAGTCCCGCTAATCCAAACATCCACCTGGAGAAAAAAGATTACTCGGTTTGAATTTAAAACAAACTAAATACAAACCAAGGTTACCTGTTGACCAAGAAAACCAGGAATTAATTGTTTATGAATTTTGTATGAAACAGATGAATTTTCAATAGGTAATTGTCTATAGCCTATTGCTAAGCTTCCATTTATTAATAGTGTTTTGTTGGTCTCTTTTAAGATCATTACCGGTATTTAGTGAGAAGAACTGTAGCTAATCGCAAGAGATGATTATGGTTGTGACCGTTGGAGCAATATGGCCATTTACCTTCCCTTACCGCTGTGGCCATTCAAACCAAAGTATGTTTTTAGCATCCATCACAATGTGTCTCCATTCTTCTCAGTATTCAGCTTGCTCCCAAATTACTTCTGCAGTCTTTTGCCACTTGGTCTTTCCATCCTAGTTTTGGCCCTCTTAGCAGATCCCTAGAATACTTCTTTAATGAGGGTATTTTCAGGTCTCCTCAATACGTGGCCTGCCCATCTTAATCTTCTGCTTTTAATGGTAGCCTATAGCTACTAGGCTATATCCGAATGTTGATAGCGGTTTCATGATTTATGATTTCTAATTCTCCATTTGCCATTTATTGAACCTGATCACCTGATTTTCAAAAACTAAAAATTTTTTTCTGACTTCTCTACTTCTCGGGACATTCTCAGTTAAGTTTTTTGTTTGCAACTGAATAATTTGGATAAATAATATAAACTTTTATACTGTTATTTCCTGCGATCAGTCTACTTTCTACTCAATCTTCCTCTTTGTTATTTTGGTAATATTTTACCCCTAAGTATTTTAATTCTCTATCTCTAGTGAATCCTACATCATCAACCTGAAAATTGTTATTTGGAATTTATTCTGTTCTTGGGATTGAGAGGAATTTTGTTTTTTCTGTGTTGATTTGATGTCCAACTTTTTTAGCTTTTTCTTTCAGTTTTTCAGGTATTCTTTGGATCCACAGCTACTAGGGCCTCATAATCGGCACATGCTTAATACATTAGTTTTGGTGCCCTCTTCTAACTTCCTTGTGTCTTGGAGGCTTCTTCTATGATCAAGTTACATTTGTGATGGCCCATATCGTGTAAACACCTGTGGTGTTTGCAAATTAATCTGCTTTACTCATTTTCTATTCTTACTTTGTTCCTTGTGTCTGTGCAGCATAATTGAATTGACTGCATCAACTTATTTGGTAATCCAGACTTCTGTAAAATCTCCCACATCTTCTGTCGATTAATGCTGTCATATAGTCCAGGCAAATTAGATAAAAATAGGGTGTGCTGCCCAAAAAATCGTCTAAAGCTGGAAAGTACTTTAATACCTTTTGGGGGTCCAAAATAAGACTCCTGTGAGTTTGCGACGGATTCTGACGTCTGCTTAAGTTTTGGGAGTCGAAAAACTATGAAAATTTTGCACTTTTTTCAGTTTTTCGCTTATAACTCCTAAATAACGAATCCTAAGGAAAATGGTGTTCAAAGATGTCTTTTAGGGCATTAAATTCCGCATCGATTGATGTTAAATACGTCAAAATCGGCCGAGCCGTTTAGCCGCTGTAGCTATTCAAAGTTGGGATATTTTCATCAACATGGCCAAAAGGTTGATTATTTGACCAGTTTTCGGCTTACAACTCCTAAACAACGCTCCCAATAGTTTTTTTAATAGGCTAAATTACATAGTAAAACTATGTACATCTGTCCCATTATCATATTTCGTTTATTAAGCTAAAAATAACATTTTTGCAATATTTAATAAAACCTTTCTCTTTCTCGTTGTAATATCTTATTATATATTAGAATCGCTTAACACCATTTTGGAGTGTCCAGAGATGGGATCGTATAAATGGGAGCTTAGGACAAATACTAGAATTTTTTTAACCCCAGATAACAATATTAGATTTAAAATTACATAGGGGATCTTTCTACCCTTCCCTTCACACATTCTTGGATAAACCTCTGGATGATAACCATGGAATAAACCACTATCTAGTAATTCATAATCATAATTCTACGCCGAATTTTGTGTTTTCCAAACTAACTATAGGTGCATTTTCATATAGCATGCGTTGTTTAGGAGTTGTAAGCCGAAAACTGGTCAAATAATCAACCTTTTGGCCATGTTGATGAAAATATCCCAACTTTGAATAGCTACAGCGGCTAAACGGCTCGGCCGATTTTGACGTATTTAACATCAATCGATGCGGAATTTAATGCACTAAAAGACATCTTTGAACACCATTTTCCTTAGGATTCGTTATTTAGGAGTTATAAGCGAAAAACTGAAAAAAATGCAAAGTTTTTCATAGTTTTTCGACTCCCAAAACTTAAGCAGACGTCAGAATCCGTCGCAAACTCACAGGAGTCTTATTTTGGACCCCCAAAAGGTATTAAAACACTTTCCAGCTTTAGACGATTTTTTGGGGAGCATATGTCTAATTTGCCTGGGCTAATAAGCTTTATGGAATACTACAAACAGGGCATGATTGTGTTGCTCCCAGTTTCTGTTATTGCTTGTTTTAAAGAGAATACATGCTCTGGAGTTGACCTGCCTCTGATAAACACTGCCTGTTGGTCTTTCATGATTTCACTTACTGTCTCAAATTTAACAACGGACAATAGACAAATTCCTTTTATTTTCTTCCAAAAATACAATAGCGTCATGTCTGTTTATTTCTTTTGTTTACAAGTACTTTCTGGTCTTCTATCTTTATAAGAGACTAAATAATTCTTTGATTGAGTTGGGGCAAAATAGGGCATTGAGCATCTTTTTATTCAATGTAAATCCTACTACAGCTCTATGTATACATTCCATCATTTGTTTCACTGTAGTATAGCAGTATAACTTACTATTGTATATTGTTGAAAATAAATAATACGGCCATTTACGTTAAAAACTAATTTTTAACAATTAGGTAATCCGAACATAGTCCGGTCCCAATTAGTTTGGACTAGCAGGACTCTATTGTACCAATTATATTTTGAATAAATATGTTTAAAATAAAATTTAGTTGGATGAATCTCCAAATCCATCATGAAAAAGCAATATTGGCTTAAATGTCCACGTACTTAGCTATCAGTTCAGATTTGGTTTTAGTCCCTTACCAGCGTTTGTCCAATTAAACAGCTGTGGGTAACTCAACTAACTGTGCGGAATTCAACTTCCACTTCGACCCGGAGGCTGCTTATATTGTTCTCAATTCAGCAATCAAACGTAAAGTGTTGGTGCCTTGGGAGACGTGTTGCCACTTGGCTTATTCCTTGGTATGTCTTGCAGAGTAAATGTAGGACTACAACTTTCCAAAATAACCCTGGTGCTTGAATTAATACATTTTGCTTGGCATAGCAGCGTATTAACTCCACTTTATTAAATTTGTGTTCATTTTATGCTTTACTAGCTGATGTACCCGTTCTTCGCAACGGGAAGATGTAGGCCTACTATATCACCTAATCCAAACACTTGTTAAGTAGTTCGAATTTATAACCGAAAAGCCACTAAATTTATTAAAAAATTATAACTTACATTGTAGTCCAACTGTTTACATGAAAATATATCATTAACATTATTTTCATAACTTACGGTTATAGAATCTTTTTTCCATAATCAATGACATAGTTTTACAATAAATAAACCTATCACATGGTCGTGTAAAATATTGTACTTGTTTGGATCAGCTGTCTGAAGCTGTGAAATAAGCATTTGGCAGTTCTGGTTGTTTACATTGAAATGTCAACGTAAAGGTAAACATTGTGAATTTTCTTATGCTTCCATGGAGACCAATTATTAATATTTACTTTTTTAATTTCTGACAACAGCTGGAGTTTCATAACAATATTTGTTTCCCGTGTTAATCTTATGGAGAAATACAAAACTTTAAAGGGCCCCCGCCCCCCGGGCCTCACTCTCTAATTATTTCCCTAAAAAGATAGTTTCCTGCACAACTTCACGTTACGCTCTTTCCAATGACACCAAAAACATGTCAATCGTTTCAGTAGTTTCGGAGGAGTAATTGTCACAAAAAATCTGCTTGCGTATTAAATAAGTATAGATATATTTTAGATATGATTTTCTTCTGTAGGTTAATAAAAGAGGGGCACATTTCAAATGTAGTTTTCAATAGGTATATTTTTTTAATTTTAATTCTGGTGATGGCTAAAAAAAGCTTCATGAGTCTAAATACATTTTCAGTAAAGTTAACAAGCATGTAAGAATATATAGCAACTAGGTATTTGTATTGTAAACAATTTACAAAGACAGTTCATTCATTAATATTTTGCTAGTAATCCCCTTACAGTTTTATTTTTTACCTATCTTCCTTATAGCAGCCTTCTGCTTCCTCATGAAGCCTGTGTAGGCTACTGATATGCGGCATGTAAAGTAAGGTATTGACTCATTGGCTTTACTCTGAGTTTTGGTAACAATAACAGTTATACAGTGCTCGATTTGTGGGGGAACACAGGCAGAGTTCCAGTACCTCTCTTTCAGAAAGATAAAAATACCCCCGCCGCAGCAAACCTGCAGACTTAGCGAATTTCCATTTGCCTGATTGGATTTAAACTAAAATGTCTCCTTAAAAATATCACATTTATTCCCTATTTAAACAGAATTAGTTTAATGAGTACTTAGGTTTGCTGCAACAGGGAGGGTAAAAAAGTTTTTTTAATGTAGAATATTAAAAGGTACTGTGGTTTAGTAAGAAATTAATGTATTTTCCAACTTTTATCAAAATATGTTCATAAACAAGCAAACTACAACAGTTGACTTATTCTCCATAAGAATAACATGGGAATTTTAAAATTACAATTTTTTTGAATTTTCTCCGTAACAATTAGGCGCATAATAATGCTTCAATATACTAAATTATTTGTTTTTTTTAAGCTCTACAAAATGGTTTAAAAAGAAATTGTGAAATTTTGTGTTTTTAGGGTCAAAAATGGGAAAAACCTATTTTTACCCCATAAAACCCCCCATAAACCCCCGTTCCTATAGTCCGATCATGCTGGTTCGCGAACTCATTCAAGTTTATCCCGCCTTACACCTTCAAACCAAATTTGATCAAAATCGGACAAAAATTACTCAAGTTATCGTGCGGATGGACACATATATATATATATATCTATATATAGATATATAATATTGGCATAAATAGGTACAAATCACATTAAATAGGTTACAGTTTCGGCACCTAATTATTTACAAATCGAGCACTGGATGTACAGTATGAGGTTCCCAGCTTAGAAAACACTTAAGTGGAGGCTAAACTACTTACGTAGTTGTCATATATGGTGGATAATGTAGACATTAAATATTGGACATGTTTCAAACTTATGACAGTTCATAATCAGCAACATTTACTAGTTTATTTTAAATCACATAAAAAAGGTAACTTTTCAAGGATCTAAGGGCTTTGGGGAAAATCCCTCTTGAAAATAATTCTAAAAAAGTGAAACAGATATAGAATAGTGGTTTTATTTAACAACCAAAGTAAAAATATATAAATACTATTAAAGTTCTATAAACCAGAAAACATTAAATAAAAATTCAGATGTTTATTTTCTTGGTGTTGGTGTCTAAATTCAACAAGTGGCTAAGTTCTTTTTTATTCTACACGTTGCTTCAACTGCATCAACAGAGTGTGCATTGATTCAGTAGTGTGCTTAGTGTGTGTGTTTGTAAGTTAATTGGATTTTATACATTTTTATAGCTTTAAATGCGGTTTTAATTGTTCTTAGGAATGGCGTGACAACGTCCTTGGCTCATGCCAAAATGGAGGTGTACAATTTTTGAATCACGTGGAAAGACCTCTGAGAAAAAAACCGAGCTTTGTGGATTGGGTTGCTTGTGACCAAGTATGTATACTAAATTAAAATATAAGCTGTTGGTTCTTTTGGATTCGAGTGGTAGAAATGTAATATTTGTAAACTTATTAGTGATATAGACGTGATGTATCTTAATTAATTACAGAAACCAACAACTTTTAAATATTCATCCTTTACTAAGTGCCATGTTTGTAATATAATATACCAGAGTTATAGCGGGAGTTATTAGGATTTTGCGGGCCAGACTTATTTAACTTCGGGTCAAGTCAATAGTTTTGGCCTACCGTACTTGGGCCAATATCAGATTGAGTCAAAATCCAGTTGCTTTGGAAAGTATTGATGTTACAGTGAAACATAATTATTAAATTAAACCTCAATCTTTCGAAATCCATGATAAATCAAATCAACTTGTCCCTTCTTTCTCCCTCCGATTGGCGATACGATGGGACCAGCTAGTTCCAGACAGTGCTGCTCTTTGTGAGTGTTTCATCAAACTACGTTGACTCTTGTCGTTACGCAGCACATCACCGCACGTCATTTGATATTCGTCATACCAAAATATTTGAATTCCAAACGGGTTCGCTCGACACTGCGCCTCGCCATTGGCAGGCTGCAGCGATCGTGTTTTAAAGTATTAAATTTTATAATTGCGTTATTATCTATTCCAATACAATACACAAGGTACAAAACACTGTATTTTAGAAGGTAATAAATTATCCTGATGTTTTATTGCTTGCACTGAATTGAACCTCCATAAATCGAATTTTGTGGAGGATGAACCTTGTTAAATCAAATTTTTACTATTCAAAGTACTCGATAATTTGAAATTTCCTCTTGAGATCTTATTTATTGAGGCTCCACTGTCACTGTATAGTAAAATGTTACTCTTTAAAAACTACTATCAATTTAAATAACTTCCACAATGGCAGCAAATAAAAAATATTGTCCTCAGTCGCAAAAAAGTTTTGAGTATCCCCATGGTGACGGCGAAATTGTGAACATCTTTTGCGATTGTCGAAACTTCACAGAAATTTTGATTTTCAATCATACAATCCTCATGGACGTTGATGGGACAAAAAAAGAAGCTACAGCTTACAATAAGTTGTCCTCTCAGTTTAGCTTGGTTAAAAAGTTTGTGTGTTAAAAAAATTTGTAAATTTACATCTGTGCACTCCGTCATGGGAATGAAATGCCTGGTTATATCTATGGTCCTGCTTTCTGTTGTAGGCTGTAGCAGCAATATTCCTAGACCCTACTATAGCCTGTGAGATTGACAATGTCTTTGCTACTGTGGAGCTTCACGGACAGCACACCAGAGGTCAAGTAGTCGTGGGACACAAGTTTAAACGAGAACCAAACTTGGCGATTGTCAAATCCATAGACAAGGAACGGTTCACTGAGCAGCTGCTCAAAGTTCATACGCTTAAATAAATATTTTTGACTTAATAGTATATGTGTTTTTTACCATAAATGTCATGATCAAATCTGCTGAGGTATTTGGGATGCATTTACGTATGTTCCTAAAAAGATCATAGTGATTTAAAAAACTATGGTGGTCCAAAATGGTGGCAGTAAGCTGTTTAACAGTCTAAGGAGCAGGGTAGCTGGCAGCCCGAAGAGGGAGAAGGTGTAGTGACTCCCCGGGCGCCCCTCTCCGAGGACAGCGGCAAGGTAAAGCCTCCCATCCAGAACCTCGTCGGATGTGATTGGCGAACTTCTTACTGCATTTTGAAGACAAAGAACAAATTTATAACAAGCATCAACAAAGAACTATCAAGCTAATTTTACAAACAATAAAACACAGACTTTGCAGTTTGACAATCGCACGCCTTATGACAAACACATGTTTCAGACGGTGGACGTTGAAACGCCGGGGTCCACAACTCTGCCGTGCAACAACCAAATTCCGGCGACGACACAACATTAGCACTATACAAAAACAGAGACGTGACATCGCGTGAATGGTGTGTGGACGTGTCACGGCTCAGTTGATGGGACCTAAAAGAAGCTATAGCTTTAAGTCATCCTATCAGTTTGACTTGGTTTAAAAGTTGGCATATTTGATAGAAACCATATATTTAAATCGGCCTTTGGCGCAATTCAATTATATCCCTTTGGTTAAAAAACTGGAGACGACTACTGTATAACAAGGGGATACAGTGTCTAGTTATATCAATGGTCGAAAGTGCATTTTCTCCTATGGATGCCTTGGCTTTGGATGATTGTTCCGTTAGAAAAACCCAAATCATGAGAAGTTAATACTGTATGGATTTGTTTGAGAACTGCACGTTATGTGTGCAATAAGTACTACAGTATAACAATTAACAATAAAGGTGTACAGCAATGACATCTAAATGTATTAAACATCTGACGTACATGTAGTGACTTGCATATTACTGTTTATTGGAGAAAGCTGCATAAGTAACCAAGTGCATAAATCGTCATTGAAATCTTCTAAAGAACAAGATAAGTCTAGTTGTAAATTGTTAAATTATGAAAAAAGTCATAGAAGAGATGCAACATTCAATTTGATAACAAATTACCAAAAAATTTTTAAAAGTACAGTACAGTATTTTAAGTTGTATTAAATGTAAAAGGTTGTACTGTATTTGATCTCTTGCCGAAGGATGGTCAGTAGAGGAGTTAGGAGACTCAACAAAACTGGCTAAACTTTTATTCTGACATTATTCACATATCTACATCCTCAATGAAATAATATTGTCCAAGGTTCATCCTTGAGTAGGATTAATTAATTAAGTAATGTGTGACTAGGCTAAGCTAATAAGTTAATGATGCTTTTTAATCACAGGTTGAGCTATAACAAAACGAGAGCTATTACAATTGCATACCAAAATATGGCAAGACAGTGGCGTTAACATACAAAAAAATATCCAAACATTTTATGTGCTATACATTTTTTACTCTACACGGTAACTAAAACTTTGATAGTTTGTTAAAGATGTTTCAACATTATTTTTTTGTTTTCTTATTAGTCAATTTGTTGAACAATTAAATGTTATTACATCCCTTATCAGTGAATAATTTATGAAGTTGCATGAACTTCCTCTTGCAACCTTGCAATTACAAATGCTGCAACTCAACACTCAACAATTTAATGTTTAATGTAATGTGAAATATCCAGTGTTCACAAAGAAAAAAAAGTAGTTATTTATTTTCCTACTTTTGCCGCACTCCATTCCAAATTCCAAACAAACAACACAAAACAGTGTGCTTTTATTAGGCACGTAATACGTACAGGCCAGCTTGAAAATAAGCTGGCAACAAGCAAGATGCTACGACTACGATCAGCTGGTGCAGCGTAACCCATTTCGTCCAGCTTGGATTTAACCTAACCTAACCTAAAAACGTGTTGTATAGTGTTTGAAAAACTAATTATTTATAAGCTTTGTAGTAACCTGAAATGAATAGTATGAAATCAATTAATACTTCGCAGCAAAATCCTGCAGACTTTGAATTTGTATTATAAAAAATCAACAATACATTGACTTCACTATATTGCTATGAAATGGGGACGCAACTAAGGCATATTTTAACCGAAATAATAATGCGACTTCATGAGTTAGGTTTACCGTTAGGAACACAAAAACCTGTCTGGTCTTGTCTTGACTCAATTCAATCAATACTACCAATTCAGTAAATTTTACCATAAGTATTATTTGTTAAGTGTTCAACAGAAGTTTAATTTTCCATGACCAAGTCAGAACGCACTGATGAAGTTTAGAAGTTTCACATTATTTAATAATATAACCGCTCAGTTTGTAGGATAAATTATAGGCTCCTTGGCCTAGTATCCAAGGCTGTTGTTGGACAGAGTAGTCTTGTCGACGAAATCTTCTAAATCAAACAAGATTTTTTACCACATTAGTGAAGACTTTCAGTAGCTATTTATAAAGCTAAATTCGTGCTTACTTGAAATGTATTATCATTTTATTAAGATATATTGGGTTGGGTATTAACTTCTTCTATCAATGCATTATATGGTTTATGTTTGGAGGAAGTTAAAAGAGTAAACTGAATTATTTTCCAAAGTAGGAATTTTACGATTTATTGGAAAACAGGACAGAACAGCAATTTTTACATTGCTTTTAGCACTTGTGAAAGAGTGTATATCCGACACCCGGCCGACGCTTTCAGTGGAATCGTATCCATTCTTCCCTCCTTTTCTTAATAAACGAAACTGCTGTATCGGTAACACTGCGTATTTTACCCATTTTACCATAATTAGCTTGAGATTCATACACTCAGCATTTTAATTTTACGTAAAGAATACAACCTAATTCAAACTCTTTTCGCGATTGTTGTCGACACTACTGGTTTGCAAAACAAGGGAAACTTTCCGTAAAAACTGTTTATTTTCTATAATGAGTTCGAGTTTCATATTTAATCAGCAATCAGCAAAAATGTTTACCTGACGTATGGAATCATTCGAAGCTTGTTTGTTAATTTCTTCCATTACCGGTAACACTTCCTATAAAGGGATCTTTAAAAACCACTGTTTTCCCCTTTAGATTTGTTCATTCCCTACTGAAGGCAAGACGCAGGATCATACTGGTCCGGTCAGTGTAGAATGACCATGGCTAAGACCAGCTTAGGTTCAATGTCATTCCGTCACCAGTTCCGTTGCTCAAGGACTTTTCCCGGTCAACAGGTGTCGTTGTCTTGTTGGCGATCGAATTCTTCAACTCGACAAACTCGAGAACTAACCACGAAAAAGCAAATGTTTGTTGTGAATTTAAAACATGTTCTTTATGGTGCTCGGAATACAAGTACTTTTCCAGTAACATTCTTAATAATGGAAGTTAAGAATTAGTTCAACAATTCTTCTGGACTCTGGCTTTTTATCATTGGCCATGTGACTCTAAGGACATGTACAACACTCCCAACATTAAAATAAAAATTGTTGTTTGAAAGTTATCGTAGTCTAAGTCTATTGATTTTGACTATATATTATAAAATAGAGGTGGTGTCTGTCTGTCCGTCTGGGCAGATGTTGTACGACTAAAATACTAAACCAATACAGCCAAAATTAAGCACAAAGATGCTCCACATATCTAGGAATGTCTTAAGCCTATTCACTTCCTTGAGTTCCTCCTGGGCCACGACCCTTGGATGTTCAAAGTTTTGAGGCGAGGTTTCAAAAGAAATTACTAATTGGTATCCATGAAAGCATGAAACAATTCACAATGTTTACCTTTGCGTTGACATTTAAATGTAAACAATTAGAACTGCCAAATGCTACTTAACAATTTCAGACAAATGATCCAAAGAAATATATTTTACACAACAATTTCGTTGGAATATTTAATCTAAGACTTTATTATAGATTATTTTATTCTAAATCTATTTCAATGATTATGAAACTGATTTTTATTCCCGTTGCGAAATATAGTTGACTATATTTTCTCTAATTTAAATATGGGTACACATCAATGGTACTGTACATGGGTATGTATATATTATTTTAATTTTTTGAGTTCTTACAATAAAGATTTCACTTCTTGCAATATTGGAAAGCAAATATAAAAGATTTAGTTCACAACTAGTCGGTAACCAAAGGCATTGAACTAATTTGCAGGTGTTGTGTGGGATCGTAATATAATTCTTCGATAAACATTAAATACTATGAATAAATTCTGTATTGATTATCTCTAATCTCATTATCTCATCATCTACAACCTATCTTCATCTCTCTATCGTCATCCAACCTAATCAGTTTGTTTTAAGCATTCAAAACGTGTTTAAAATGTTTTGCAAAACCAGCAAGCCGGCGAGATACCGAAGAAACTGATAGTTGCATTGGTGTTTGTGTATTCCCAAGGTCATTATAGTTGATAAGAGAAGCATTATTGTGGGGAAGATGGTATTTTCTTGTCAAGAGATTTCCTATTGATAAAACATTTGCTAATGAGTATTTCGATCAGAGCTCTAGAATCAAAATAACTTCGAGAGTGGAAACACAAGGTACCAAGGACTATTACTTAATGGATCTTAATTGTAATAAATATAAAGAAATATAGAAATAGACAATTGTAAAAATAATAAACGTAAATATACACCAGCGTAAAAAGTTCTATGACTGACTACACAGATTAAGATATTCGAAAAACTAAAATTGAGTGTAAGGCGAGAACTAAAAACATTATTTGCTGAAATCTAAAAAAAAAAATAATAATTAGGCTACTTTAATTTAAGACGTTGTTTATCAATTTAACGCAACGAAATACGAAATACTGAGATATTACGTCATATAGACACACACCCGACATAAAGTGTATAATGTTGACATGCCTTTGATTAACAACAAATTAACAGTTAACTTAAAAAAAAACATCGCATTTCCTCCGGAAATTGTCCAAAAATTGTGTTCAGCTTAATCTTGAAGAATGATAATTTCGTAAATGATTATGCCATGGTTAAATAAAAGATTCCGAAGATCAGTTGTAGCCTATAACCCGTTAGTCATTTGTCGTACTATTTTTCAGTAATGGTATTACAGTTCACAATGTTTTGGATGTATTATAAGCATTGACTATATACACGGAAATTATTGTGAACCAAATGTTGTTACGCGGACAGAGGGTCTGGATCTGGATAAGTCTAAGCTTAACACATGTTTCTGTGTCCTTGTCAGGTATTGGTATTACAGATACTGTAATCCGTTAACTGTAATATCAAATAAGCATTGCGTAATTATCAATACCTAATAGCTTGTGTGTTTAAAGTTCGAATAAAGTTTAGTGTAAAATATAATTTTTATTTTATACGTGTTACTTTTTAGCGAATTTCCCCTATAGGGAATAAGCTATTACCGTAGTACTCATGGTAAGACCTGGACCCGGGACCAATTAACTTTTTCGTTTTGAGGTCCCTAGACACCAAAAACACCATCCGTTCAAATTCATATATGTATATATATATATATATGTGTGTGTGTGTGTGTGTGTCCGTTAGCGCGATAACTCGAGCAAAAATCATCCGATTTTGATGAAATTTGGTACAAACGTGTAAATCTACGTTTATTCGAACAAGTTCAAGAACCAGCATGATTGGACTATGGGAACAGGGGTTTATGTGGGTGTTAAGGTTTAAAATTTGGCTTTTCCCATTTTTTGACCCTAAAAACTTAAAATTTAGCAATTTATTTCCAAACCATTTTGTAGAGCTTAAAAAACAAATAATTTAGTATATTGAAGCGTTATTATGCGCCTAATGGTTATGGAGAAAATTCCAAAAATCTGTAAATTTAAGTTTCCTATGTTATTCTTATGGAGAATAAGTAAACTGTTGTAGTTTGCTGGTTTATGAACATATTTTGATAAAATTTGGAAAATTCAATCATTTTATACTAAACTATTACATTTAACAAAAAATACCTTTTTACCCTCCCTGTTGCAGCAAACCTAAGTACTCGTTAAACTATTGTTATTTAAATAGGGAATAAATGTGATATTTTTAAGGAAACATTTTAGTGAAATCCTGTCAGGCAAATGGAAATTCGCCTAGTCTGCAGGTATGCTGCTGCGGGGGTATTTATTTTATTTAATGCTAACATATCCAACTTTTATGATTTAGACCTATCTGCAGTTTATAAGTGAAACTCACCTCCGCCCTCGTCATAAGCAACAATTAATTACGCTGTATCATCATATGTCCATATCAAGAATAAGAGTAACATATTATAGTATTTCCAAATACCTTCCGGGTCAAAGAGCTCACGAGTTATGTCAGAGTACAAATCCCTCCTTATTGAACGAGGAAAGAGGAGACGATAACGACTCAGTCTACTGCGTGATTTAACTACGTATGCTCCAATGTAACCTTCACCTAAAATCCACTCTAGTCCGACAAAGTCCAAACTCGTTAAATAGGCCCTACCTGACATCCATGTTTCGATTTGGATGAACTTAGCGTTATTTTATATTTATATAAACTTACCTTATCACCTAGTATTTTGAAAGAGCTAAGCTTTTTCGTGCCATATTGATAATATTCAGTTAAAACCAAAAGTCGTAGCTTTAAAACAACTAGTTCCTGAGATTTTTGAAGCTGTAATTTCCAAGATTAAAACTGACCGCGTAAACACTAAAAACTGTCCAAATTTAAATGGGAAATCTATAATCTGTAAAAATACAATATGAAGGTTGTTGTTGAGAAAATGCAATTAGCAAATATAATTTGTCAAGGGCTACACATTATCTAACAAATTATTGCGGACATTTCCCATCACAAATAGTAAAAGTTTTCAAGACGTTTCGGGACTTGGAACTATCCCCGTCCTCAGAGAAGAAAATATTTATCATTATAAGAATAGTACACAATCCCAGACAAAACTATGTTTTGTTTATTATTTTTGTGTTTTTTTCTCTCACCTGAGGATACTAAACTTAAAGTGTTTGTTTTTTAATTCGTCATAGAGAATGTCCGCAATAATATTTCTGTTAGAGTAAATTCATTATCATAAATGAACCACATAAAGAAGGACATGTTATACAATTCACGATTTTAACCGTACGTGTTTTAACCTTTTCACCAAGACGTTCCGGAGGTGATTTTCCAACCAAAACAATCCCCTCCATGTAGCGCCGCAGACTCCCGGCGTAGCATAGAGAGCTACATCGCTGTATCGATAGTCGTGTGTCCGCCGTGACTCCATGTGCCGAGACCTTGTCTACCCGCAACCCGCAGTCGTACGCTGTAGGCCGCCCGGTGGACGACCATGAGTCCGTGCCTGGAAGTGCCTCAAACTTTGGTGAGTTCAGTAGTGTTGTGTAGCATACAGTGGTGTGGTCCAGAGAAAGTGTGGGTTCAGAGTTGAGAGAAAGCAGAGGTGAGTAGGCTAACCTCAGTGGGTCATCCGAGGAAGATGAGATGACGTTTATGGAGTTTAAGTGGTGTGTTCGGTATTTAAGGTAACAATTTGAGATTCGTACAGAAAAAAATGCAAACAAATGCAACAAACTGCTGCAATGGACAATAGACAAACAGTAGACCTAATGATGCGTCAACTCAGAAAAAAGACCATCAAAACATTGGAAAAGTTTCGGTTTAAAGATTCGATTGGCAAGTTTTGAGATTTGAAACTAAAAGCTGAAACAACAACAACTGTTGACCATAAATATCGACTTAATTTTTTTAAATAAATCTTTGAATTGATATATAATTATGTCAGTGTCAGGAGTTTAATTTATTTAAGTGTTTGCTGTTTATCAAAATTGATGTATTTTTTATGTTTAAAGTTGAAAGTCTATTAATTTATGTTATTATGCCAGGGTCAGGCATCCAATTCTTTTTCAGTTTTGATTACATAATAAATATGTTATCATCTGTAATTATTGTAGTAATAAACAGGAAAGAAAAACATTTCGTGTTTAGGTTTTGAAATTCTGGATTCGATTTGTCATATTTCGATTTTGAGATTCAAAATTTCTAATTTGTACCATCACTATGACACTGTAATTACAAAAGTAAGGCAATCCATAAGGCTGGTACATACATTAGTAATGTTATATCTAAGTTCTTCCATCCAAGTTTTCCTAACCAGGGCAAAGCCTTGAATTGTACTTTTAAAACTGTACTAATTTGTAATAAGCTTTAAGTCTCTTTCAGTTCTAGATGTAAAATTAGACCTTGATAATGTTCTGTATGCAACAGACAAATCATTGTAGATTTTTAATTCCACGTGCAATGTTTACGATTTCCTTTTATGGTGCTTGTAATAGTTTGTTTGAGATGGGTAATTAAAAAATAAATAGAAGAATAGTTCAGAAATACATTATGTTTTATTTTAAAAACCATGCAAACATCCAACGATTTTATGTCTGAGATTTTACTGTAATTCTTATGTTTTTCTGTCGTTGCGTTACTGTCGGCTTACTTGAATTTGGTACGGAAATTGTCAATTTAATGTATAAAATATTAGTTCGTCAGTATGCACAAGTTTCTTTGAAATAACCGATAGAGTAAACATGAACTTGTTTCCACAAAAATATTTAGCTAGTCTTTACAGTTTAGTTTAAACGATTAGCAAGTAAATCGTACCGTATATAGTAATTATGCTTTTTGTAATAACTTAATTGTTTTAATTAAAATATTTTCAACATTTGTAACAATAGCTAAAATACCGGTAGGTACATACTAAAGTAATCAATTAAGTTCAAGTAAGAATAATATCAAGAATACTTTATTTAGTATCCTAACTCGTTAAAATAATAACTACAGTAGTATACACTACATTATGCTCTAATTCAAACAATAGGTTGCCTTAGTGTTAATCAACAAATATAACACAATTGATTACAAAATACGTGGTGAGCATGTGCCCTTAGTTGAGGAGTATTTATTCCTTATAATTAATTAACTTTAAATCCTAAAAGCAGACTTATCTGATTTTTAAGTGTGATCCCTGCGTTACTGTGTTAAAGTATTACTGTGTGTTTAAGTTAATCTCGAATAAATTTTACTCTCTTTTATTTTAGGGTAAATATTACAATATACATTTTATCGTTAGTCTTAGTACTGAAGATAAAACAAACACTCAGTATTTTCATTTTCTAAAAATATATCTTTATTTTGTATATAGTTGTATAAATATTTATGTAGAGTACGACACGGCTCTACTATAATAATTTTGGCTGGTGTAACACGGTTAAGTGATTCTTTGCAAAACAAACAGGTCAAAAACAATAATGAGTACATTGCACCTATCACATACCCATTAGATGTACATCAACCGGTTTCAGCGATACATTGCAGCAAATGTCATGGACAAAACGTAGGTACCGCGTTACTCCTTTTTATACCTTTCATGAGGTCCAGTGTAGGACATTAAGTTCATTTGTTGATAACATCATAGTTTTATTTTTGTGGAAAAAGTAAAGGCGTATGAAAACATAACTGCACACTCTTAATTTTAGCACAATTCATTGTAAAAATTGATTCAAAACATATTTATAAAATTTAATTTTAAGACATTCATTGGACTATTTCAATTCTTAGGCCCCAATCATTGAGATGGTTATTGGGTTAATCCTTATGGGTTTAACTTTAATCATAGAATAACCAACATTAAGGGAGTTTTACCTATGCTTTAATGCTGAACAATGACTTATTGTTGTTGGTTTAAAAGGCAGTGGTCCGCAAACGCAACACGAGATGTCAATTTCCTCTCTTTTCAATTTGCAAGGCTAAACTCTAACAAACATGCCAGTTCTAATCCAAACAGCATATGGAAGGGTATAATGTCAGACAGTTCATTAGTGAGCCTACATTTCTAAACCCTATAAAATGTTATGATTGGTTCGCTCAAATCACTTCGCTCGATGACGCGTAACCGGAATGCTGAGGCATCAGAGCTTGAGGTATTCAATTAGACAAATATTTATGTGAATAGTAAATTAATCTGAGGTAAAATTCATAAACCTTTCTGGACTGATTTCTAATGTAAAATAACACAAAAGTTGAAGTAAACACTTGAAGTTTTATTTCACTTATTTTTATTTTTGGAAACTAGACACTGGAATCCCCTAACGCAAAAGGATGTAAACAATGCGATTTTATCAACGGTGTTTGGGTGTCATACAGCGCATCACTTGAAATTCCCGAGAATATTAATGTCGTAAGAAAGTTTCCAAATGATTTTACTAATTTTGAACCAATCTGTGGCCATTGAATCCAGTTTTTATCATTCTAAATTCACATTCACAGTGAATCCACTCTTTCTAGACAACTGTTTCTGGGAGGGGTCCAAGTGAGAAGAAGCCATCATCATTTTACTCGCAAGTAATGTTATTTGACAATGCAAAATATCGACTACAAGTCTTGGTAAAACTTATGGTAGTAATTATTAATTTTTGTACATATCAAAAACTATAACTAACTATAATAGTTGTCAAGCAAGTTATAGGGCTATAGGCCCACTCCCCTTTGGGGTGTCAATGGGAAAATTTGTCTAGAAACTAATTACATAAAATTGTAAAATTACTCCCAACTAAAAGACATGAAATACTGATAAAACTAACATGTCTGTGATTATGAGAGTTTGTCACTGTCACTTGCATGTCGCATGTTTCTTTACACATTGTGCAGGTTATTGACTACCACAGAGCATTGTGCCAAGTCATTGGTCTTACTTGTTGACCGACTGGCAGTGAACCGTATTACCCCTTCACCGTTACTAAGGATTTTCGCACGCCACACCGGCCTGGTTTCCTCGGATGCCGGATGATGGTTTCTTTCAGAGGTTTCACTGTAATTGCATTGCCTGTTGATTTCTTCGCTGTAGGAAGCTGTGCTAGTTAGTAGTTTGGCCTCTTGATCAGATAACAATGGATTCTCTGCCAGTAAGAGTCGTTGAAATAATTGTTCAATCATCAACAGCATAAAGAAGAACATGAAAATATATTTTACTTTGGCGATTTTACTTGTCTTTATGATATTTATTTATTCATTCATTCGTTGACAACTCTAACAGATCAGTAATTTACACATAAAAGATCTGGAATATTTTTATTGACTCAACATGGCTACAAACATATCATTTAATATCGAAGAGCCAAACATAAATGTACAGTAAAAGTTGACATCATAGCTTACCAATAGCGAACCTCTCTTCATAATAAACTAAATCTTGTTTGATTTTATGGTAAACGTGACAATAACCTTATAAAATATTTGCTGCACTAAACATTTTAAAACTCTTCATTTTCATCTGTTGCAAAAACTTTACTAACTCTGCAGTAGCCCTTTCAAGAAACTATTACGAAAACCAGATTTTAAAATCGCAAGTCTGTTAGTTTATTTCCTTTATAACACCTAAGTTCTTCAATTTTCCGCCATCAGAAGGATGTACTGCAGCAGGGACCTTGTGCACAAACCCACAATCGTGTAGCCTTGGCCACGAATCTGCAGAGTAAGCTAATGACACACCATCAAAGTTTATCACACAACCCATCCCGTCAATCCAACGTAGAAGTCATTAGGAGGTTCCATCTTGGTAAACCTGAGTGTTTGTAAAACGTTTAAACATATACACGTGGATAAGCTATATCTGAGATGTTCGTAAATGCATTCTGAAGAATACAACTCGGTTAGATAACAGAGTGGCGACAGTTGGCTTCATTTTTTGCACTTTTCGAAGAATCGAAACTGGACCCAGCTGTCCTTGATTGGACCAATAAAACAACAATCTGGCTAAAGTGACAACTTGTTGAGTTTCCTGTACGAATACTTCACTACAGTCATTTAGCTAAAATTATATCTGGAGGTAGCACTTATAGAGAAAATTCGTGCCTAAAACCATCTAGTGGTGAGGGTAATTACATTAAATTTTCTGTTTAGCTATTTAATTTTTAAAATAAATAAGTATAATTAAAATAGCCATAAAAGAGCGACTCCCACCTTCCTGTAAAGAAACTTCTATCGATTTGGCAAAAGTGTTATCATCAGTCATGTAAAAATTATAATTTAATATCGTAAAATTGTTTTTTATTGGTTAAAGCTTAAATGAAGTTTTCTATTTATAAATTAAAATATTTACATTGTCACCGTACCAATTCCAAGTGGTTGACTCTAAGTAACATATTCATTCTACATCACATAGATATTGTGTTTTTGTGGTTTAAATAAATCAACTAACTACTGTTGTAGTTCTCAATACGTTTTGTGTGAGTGTTGAAATGACTATTACAACAAACCACAGCAGACTATGGAAATTGATTTTACTTGGAGTGAAAGGATGTATGTTGCATGTAC